AAAAAGAAAAAAGAGGGTGGAAAATGAAAATTAGGGATTAATGAGAGAGAGACGAAGGATTGGAGCAACTTAGATCGGACCCATGGATGAGAAATGGACCCGTTTGGGAAGCCCGAAAATGGCATGTAAGCCCAAGCTAAAGATCCAACCCATGGATCACAATTGAAGTGGTGCAAGATTTAATCCGTGTAGTAGACATCTACAAATAATGGAAGATTATTACAAAGGTTTTTATACAGGAGATTGTGTTTTTCCAACTTTTACATTCCCTACATCTGAAAATACAAATGACAACGAATTGATTATTTTTCGGTACTCATGATTAAATTATGTTAAATAGGATTACCAATCTGTTAATTGGATTTGAGGCGTCGAAGTAAAACAGAAAATGGTATTAGAACTGGATATAGGATGGATTTGGATCTCGGAGTTACTACCTCTCTCTCTCTCTCTCTCTCTCTCTCTCTCTACATATTATCAAGACTTGGCGTTTCCAAATTGATTTCATGCATAGTCATTGCTTCACTGTACCGAGTCAAAAGCAAGGAAGAAAAAAGAACAAGGAAGAGACTGATTGAATGTGGTGCAGAAAATGTCAAACAAATGGTTCTTAAAAGAAGAGTTTGGCTGTGAGTGAATGAGGTGCAACATTGTCAAGCACAAGAAGGCTGGAGAAGACAACGTTTTGTTGTAATGCACGTAGAACAAAACATATCTGACAATTGATGGCATTGACCGAAGAAAATTAGAGCTAATACATAACGCATGATGGAACAACTGATAATATATACTGAGCTTTCAGCAGACGCATCCACGTCCAAAGCGTGCAGCAGATAGCAACGTCAACAAGGACGAGTCCTGAAGCATACAAAAGCTCTGCGGACATGAAGACACGAGCGGGCGTGCTTTGCCAGAGTGGGTTTAGGATCTTCCTGCAACATGTTGGTTGGAAGCATCACAGTCCCCTGTCCCAACTCTCTGTTCTTCATCAACCCAGACAATAGTTTCTTCATCATATCATTCTCTTTATACATCTGCTTCAGCTTGGGATTGTCTCTAATGTTTTGCTCTGAGGACTCCACCATGGTGTCAAAGAACAAAGACATGCTGGTCCATGGCCAGCCAAGTGTTGCATTGAAGACAACCAGAGGAACTAAAAGAAAAAAGATAATCCAGTTCCCACTCAACCCAGAAAGAGATTCCTGGTGACATGCACTTGCCTGAGCTTTTGTCTCTGACGTTTCTACTCTGAGGACTCCCACCATTTTCTAGGTCAAAGAACAAAGACAAGCTGGTGCATAGTCGTCCACTGCATCATTTGCTGCAGGAAACAGTATGTGAATCTGCAGAGTTAATCTTGAGCATCAACGAACAGTACATATTGGAGTTTGAGCTTCTTGGGAACCCCTCTCTCTCTCTCTATCTCTATCTCACACGCGCGCGCGCGCGTACAGGAGACACAAAAGGTGTTCCTTCTTTCTCCGTGTCGTCTGCCTCTGAGCAATCACACGTGTGACAGAAGAGGTCACACGTGGGGGTGGTCAGAATTCATCTTCGTCCTCGTCCTTTGCTCACGAGCGTGTGGAGTCTAGTGCAGGTACATCAATTAATCCACAGCAGAGACCGCACGTAAACCGTAGCATTGCTTGGAGGTGTAGACCTGCTGGGGTTCTATGCAGCTTGAAACCAGGCAAGAACCTGAGATAACGCCATGGTTCTATCACCATGGACGGGAACCGAGTAAGTTTTGCAATCAAAACAACGAAGAAAAACAAAAAAAGATGAGAACACCGAGGATGTGCTAGTCTCCACTTTCTCAACAGCAAAAAGTTATCATCTATTAGTGGGGTTTGGGTTTAGGTACTTCAATGCATGCATCTCAAATTTTTGAAATAAGATGAGAGAACAGTGACCAGCACATGCTCCACAATCCAATCTCTCTCGTAGATGTACATTTGATTCTATGATCTCTAACCCCCTCCCCACTTCTCTTCCTTATCAGAAAGCATTGAAGTTTGGCAAAAGATAGCTACCCAGAGGGCAGGGAAAGAGGAAGAAGACAAGAGGGAGACCCTCGTGCAAATGGTGGTGCATGACATTGACAGGCTCACCACCGTAGCCGACATGTGATCTGGGAATATGTTATCTATATCATGTTAGGTGTTATGAAAAGATACAAAACTATGCCCTTTATTTCTAACGTTAAAACAAGACTTTATATTAAGAAATTATTTCCATGAAGGTGATATCTTGCTTGGCCACGTCTACGATCCATAGAATCCATTTTAAATCCTAAACAGATACAATGGATCAAAAAATATATGTTTAAGCACAAATTTTTAGTAACAGTAATAGGTAGGTTAAACACAATTTGGAACCCCCTTCGTCTTATCTTGTGGAACTAATAAGATGTTCTCGTTAGAAGGTATCTCCCATCATATCTCATTAAGGCATATAATATTGAATACAAACCAAATTAGCTAAATTACAACAAAGCATTATAAGTGTTTTCTATCAATTAACTGGAGCTAATCATCAAGTTTGATTGTAGAATCATGATATGTCGATAATATACCTACTGAAATAGATTGCTCATATAATGTAACCCAAGTACCTGCGTTATACTATCTGGATCGCCCAGTATCAGCAGAATCCACATCATCACCTAAAATAGAACGATTCATATCAATTAGAGAACACTTGGATGCATAGATAGAATGATGACGAGTCATAAATTTTAAGACACGTACATACATGTGAAGTAATATGTATTTTGTTAGATGGTGTTTGGCACAGATAACTAAAACCCTGTGTTCTTTCCCATGAGAAGAAAAAAAACAGTATATTAATTTTTCCCCACATCTTTCTTCATTCTGGTACATGTAAATTTATGCAGTGATTTGTCCCCACCTCGACGTACCACATAGTATACTGTGGACGGATCAGCTTGGTTTTGTGCGTATTGTCACAGCCGTATGCGTCGCTCCCCCTCATGCTTGCCTCTCGTATGTCCCTGTCATGGGCCATCATTATGGTCAAAGTGAAACCTTTGCACTTGATTGGCGCATGATCTTGGTTTTGGAATTCCTCAATTTCTGATTTTTGCTCATGCAATGTTGGCTATTGTCATGACAAAAATAAACAGGTCATGAAAATAAAGATGTCAAAATATATCTATCCATTTTTATATATGTATATGCATATGACTTGTTGCTCCTTGATTGTGCTTTTGTTTGAATATGGTCTTGAGAGATCAAGGATGGGAATTGATCCATCTCTACCTTGGGCAGGCACAAATAAAAGTTCGGTGAAAAGTGTGTAGGTGTGCCACATGGATCTTACATATAAAGGATGCTGATGTTGCCCCTTGGCATTACATAATGATTGATGATTTAGAATTGGAGAGAGAGCCTGAAAGCAAATTTGCTTTGCACTTGTGCTCTGAACCAATAATTGAAGCATATCCATATGTATATGATGTCTTGGAGATCCTTCACAAATTTGTTAGCAGGATATCACACTGTCTCATGATTGATTATTTGAAAATGATATCAACTTTCAAGTGAATAGTCATTTAAGAACATAGCATGTCATATGTTTAAATTTTAGCATGCACAATTTCATACCACATGCAGGCCTGTATTCATGTGTTAGGGGATATCTTCAAAGCAGAGCAGCAAAACTGGGGATTATCTAATGAAGATGAATGATTCACAAATTAACCATATCAGTATCAGTATATTGTGCTCTCTTTTCTCTCATATGATATGAAGGGCATTAAATGGGTAAAGGAGAGGTACTCACATAGGGACAGAGACGGCAGAAAACGACAAAGAAGAGCCCTCGTGCAAAGAGACTCTGGCTGACAGCTCCACCGTGCACCTTCTTGAGTCCCACACATTCCTTTGCTCCTTTTGCTTCTCCCTCGTTGGATGAAGGCAAACGCAACTCATGTACATGTATCTGTACAGTTCAAGCATTGCACTTATCGTTCTGCCATCTTCCAAAACCATGCATCAAACTATTGATCAATTGTTAAGGCAAAAAATAAAGCATCAGTAGAGTTATTGTGGCTCCTGCCATAGCTGTCACCAGAGGAAGGGGCTTATCAGCAATTGGTGATCATCAGGGAGATAAATTCTATTTGCATGTGTACCAGATATACTCACAACAAACAAAGAAAAGAATTATTAATGACAGAACATGCATGCTTACTTGCTTCAACAGTATCAATCAATTTTTCTTGCTATATTTCATGCATATCCACCAAAAAAAAATTGGTCACCTCTGTTTTCTTGCGTTCATAGGGGAGAGAGAGGTGGCATCTGAGACGTCCTTCGCGTCTGCCGACTACACCTTTTGGCACTGTAGTGTGGTGTACCCTTATCGTCTGAAGACTTCGGGAGAAAGAAGGGCAAAGGGGCAACTTCAACTTGGCTGTCAAATCAACATCTAAGGATCTGTTGGGACCATGCATTTCTTGAGGTCACAGTCCTAGCCACCATTTTTTCCCACTCCAAGACACAGAGTCACCCTCGAGGCAAAGTCAGATAAAAAAGGTCACTAGGCAAACTATGGTGTCATAGTCCTGCATTCATTTTACCATGGAACTGTGTAGGATTTAGAATTCAATATTCCTAACAATTAAAGAAGAAAATTAAGGTAACACATCAACAGTACAGCACATACATTCTTCAGTTGTGATTTAATGTTTCTGAAGCTTAATCATGAATTCATGATAATAACCTCAATGGCCACACCATCTTGTCTCAGCAAAAACGGAAAAAGAAAAAAAAAAGGTATTATCGTCTACACAACTGTTTTCCATTGCTTCACTTAATACTGTTTTTTAATTATTGGTCATTGTTACTCCATCTAAAGGTTTAAGCCCCTATACAAGGCATGTATTTTAAGTTCTATGTTCTTAACACTATCTTTATTGTTGTGATGAAAAAGCAAAATAATTCACAGCAGTGTTTTCTGCAATTTACTTGTATATAAGATGCCATGTAATGCAAAAATTTAAATACTGACCAGATTAAGATCTGACAGGGTTCATTGATTAGGCATACCGCATAGATCTCTAGTGAACTCTTTATAAAAAAGAAGAGACTTTCATGATAAAAATTAGCATGTTCTTAAATAGTTTCTTCTGAAAAATCTGAAGTAATTATCAGACATAAACCAAAAGCCACTTACATGGTCCTCTAGGGCCCACATTTTGATCAGTTTCTTCCTCAAGCACATGCATCAGAATTTTGGCAGCCAGATTATTTTTGCAATGGGGCTAAGAAGATCTACACAACAGGCATGTGAGGAGGACCCGACGTTTTTGTTGTTGTTGTTGTTGAGTACTATACACACCACATATTCTCCTTTAGTCCCTTTAGTTCAATGTGATGGCCACCATGTGCCGCCCAAGTGCTTGCAGTTGCAGACAATTTCTTTTCCTCTCACATCTCAATATCCCAGGTCATTATTGAAAGGCTCTACAATGTATACATCCAGACCTCCTATCACTTAGTTTTTAGGTTATAAACTGCCATGCAATAAATATGCCAAATATTTACAGATGCTCTGTGTGTGTGTGTGTGTGTGTGTGTGAGAGAGAGAGAGAGAGAGAGAGAGAGGACTGCTTCTTCATGACAAAGCATGCAGTTCATTTGGATTTTTGATCAGGAATTAGGGGTTGAATAATAAATACCTCATTGAACCTTGAACAGATGGGACCTTGGTCAAAGACAGTCCTGGGAAGCTGGGATCTCTCGAATGTTGCGACCTGTAACCTGCTGCGGAGAGACTGTTTTCTTTTTTCCTCAAGAACAGGTAACTTTTTTCTTCTGTGGTATGTGGAGGCCTATAAATAGGCACGCAGATACTAAGGCAGAGAGTTGCAGGAGCTCATCCTTGGTAGCAAACATGGTGGTCTTGTTGATGGTGCTTGGGTTGGCACTGGCCTTCCTCGTCACCTGTAGTGCTCTGTTGAGATGGAATGAGGTGAGGTACAGGAAGAAGAGCCTGCCTCCGGGGACTATGGGTTGGCCAGTCTTTGGGGAGACTACAGAGTTCCTGAAGCAAGGTCCTAGCTTCATGAAAAACAAGAGACTTAGGTGAGCTGGAAAGAGCTGAGATATGTGAATTTCTTGATTCCTTTCCAAAATTTAAAAATAAAAGTTGATACAAAGATGATCTCTTCCAAGATGACAGATTTGCTGCGACTAAAATGTGTTTTTCTTTTCTTTTTTCTCAATGTCTCTTCTTTTTGGTTTGGTTTTAGTGAGTTTTACAGAAAAGTAGCTCGCTGAAAAACTGTTTCTTGAACTTGATTTCTTTTTATGTCTGCTAGGTGACTATACTCTAATTGCGATGTCACATTTCTCTCCTTAGAATCTCCCATTTGAACATTTTCTTCTTTGTTCTGCTCATATTATGGTTGGCAAGAATTGACATTGTTTTACTATCTCTGCCTTCATTCAATGCACAACACATTATTGTCCTTATAACTAAAATTTTCACTTTAGGTTCACCAGCTTGACATGCTGGAAATTCTAACTCTATGGTATATTCTTAGGCTACAAATATTTCACTCTTCGATGGCCTTAATCTTAGATGTCGTCGAAGTGTTCATGTCAACTGACAGATTTTATTGTCTGTGTTACCATTGATATATAACACAATATTGACCTCATAAGTCCAAATCTTCATGTAGATTCACCAGCTTCAAATCTTGGAAACGCTAACTCAAAGGAAAATTCTTGTTACAAGCCTCAACTCTTCTAGCTCCTAAATCTTAAATGCCTCTCAAGCGTTCATGTTGTTTTCTCACATCTATAGGCATGGGAGTTTGTTCAAGTCACATATACTGGGATGTCCTACAGTGGTGTGCATGGATCCAGAACTCAACAGGTTCATTCTAATGAATGAAGGAAAAGGCTTCATTCCTGGCTATCCACAGTCCATGTTGGATGTACTGGGGAGATCCAACATTGCTGCTGTGCATGGTTCCCTGCATAAGATTATGAGGAGTGTCATGCTTGGCCTCGTGAGCCCCCCCTTGATCAGGGACCAGCTCCTGCCCAAGATTGATGAGTTCATGAGGTCCTACATCGATGATTGGAATGGAAGAGTCATTGACATCCAAGAGAAAACAAAGGAGGTGAGTCAGTTTCCAATTCTCCTATGCAGGAACATAACTCTCTACACTCAGTATACCACAATTGTTCTTTTTGGATGATCCTGGTTTATGTTCACACTTAAAAAGATGCAAAAGAAAAAGAAAAAAAAGATGCCGACTGCAGGGACTTGGGAAGAGATCAGAACGTTTATGCTGCTATAGTAGTTGCTAAAATGAGTTACTTGTTAAAACAGGTGTCTATCAAAGCTTTATTTTGCTTCATGATATCCAACTGTAGGTTTACCTTTAAAGCAACAAAACATACTAAAACATTAACAGTAGAAGAAATTTCATATATCTCTTCTTCACTCTTTTGCTTATTTATTTTTTTCGTGGCATCAGGGATTGAAGAAGATGATCTATGTATTATTTTGCTTCTCGATATCCTACAGTAGGTTCACCCATAAAGCAATAAAACATACGAAAATATTAACGGTAGTAGAAATTTCATATATCTCTTCTTCACTCTTTGGCTTATTCTTTTTTTTTTTTTTTGTGGCATCAGCGGTTGAAGAAGATGAATGGTTGGCCACCCTTTTAATTAAGAAGTGATACAAAATATCCTTTTATAAGAAAAAGCATCAGGAAAAACTATGTTTAGAGGGTACATTTCATTCTCTTTTATATGTTTTTTTAATGGAAATGGCAGTGTCATTTTGGAGGTTAATGGTGCCTGCATGCATACAAATTCTAGGATTTATACATCACTGATTAAGACCCACAGATCCTTTACATTGTTTAATTGCTTTAGCCTACATATTGCAATTTTAGATCTATAGTTCATTCTTTGTGTTCAGATGGCACTGATGTCAGCATTGAAGCAAATTGCTAGCATTGAGACAGGTCCAGTCTCGAAGGGCCTAAGAACAGAGATCTTCAAACTTGTTCTTGGGACTCTTTCCTTACCAATCAATTTTCCTGGCACAAACTACTATCGAGGCCTGAAGGTAGCTTCAAGTTTCTGAGTATTACCATTTTTCACTCGGATAATAAGATACAAATTCATAGCTAGTGGATTTCTTATAGGCAAGGAAGAAGGTTGTAAGCATGTTGCATGGGATTATAGAGCAAAGAAGAATCTCAAGATGCTCCTACAATGACATTCTTGATCACCTCCTAAAGATTGATCCAAGCTCCAAAGTAAAACTTGATGATGAACAGATCATCGATCTGATGATTGCCTTAATCTATTCTGGATATGAAACTGTTTCAACAACTTCGATGATGGCTGTTAAATATATCCATGATCATCCTAGAGTCCTTGATGAACTCAGGGTAAGATAGTAAGATTAGCACTGGTGATTCCTAGATCTTCTTTTACTTTCTTTGCTCTTATCATTAGACTTCCGCTTGTAGAATGAACATCTGAAAATTCATAATGAAAAGTCCTGCAAGGATGCAATTGATTGGAACAACTACAAGTCCATGACTTTTACTCGTGCAGTAAGTAAATGACTCCGGCTGAGCTATTTCCAGTAATTGAGCAAAATCTGTCTTACAGGAGAAAGTGTTTCTTATTGTAGGTAATACTGGAGACTCTAAGAATGGCCACAGTGGTCAATGGGGTACTTCGAAAGACAACCCAGGACATGGAAATGAAAGGTGAGCCCAGAGGAAAAGAAAAACACTATTTGATTTAAATGAATTTACTGCTGACTGATAAACTTCTCAATCTTGTCACCTTATCCTATTCTAATCAAAGAAACCATGTTTTCATCAGGTTTCACAATACCAAAAGGTTGGAGAATTTATGTCTACACTAGAGAGATAAACTATGATCCTTTTATGTATCCAGAACCTTTAACCTTCAACCCATGGAGATGGCAGGTAAGAAATCATGAGTTTGTTGTTCAGGGATGCTTATTACAAAAGCTAAATGCATACTTCCTTGACTAAATGCAGGAGAGCAACCTAGATTCACACCAGCATTTCATGCTGTTTGGAGGAGGAAGTAGGATGTGCCCAGGAAAAGAATTGGGAACAGCAGAAATTGCAACATTCCTTCACTATTTTGTAACCAGATACAGGTCTACAATTTCTCCTATCTTTATCTTCAGCAGCTTCACTTAAATTTGCAACTAAGCATAATCTGGCTACATGATATAAAAAATAAGCTTCAACAAACTTAAGAAAGTATACAATTGAAGTATAATAACAAACTACTAGACCTTTTGTTCATCAACTTTTCATCCAAAGATGCATATAGCATCTGTGATTTATATCTCTTATCTTTGCTTCAAGTGTCACGGTGGTGAACTCGAGCATGAGTTCCCCTAACTTTTTCTCAAATAACCTTTTTCCTGATTTTCTATTACAGATGGGAAGAAGTTGGAGGTGATAAAATACTAAAATTTCCAAGAGTACAAGCTCCGAACGGCCTGCACATCCGTGTATGGGAAAACTAGGGTCAAAACTGTACAGAGCATTAGGTAGTGTTGCTAACAAATGATCAGAAGAGAAGCTTCTATATTTTGTTTCTGCGTCAGTGAAAGTTACAACTACCGTTTCCTAGATAGAAAGGTGCAGATGTTTTCTGCTATAAGTCTGTTCATAGAAGAGGTACCATAAGTATCCGATAAGTACAAGGTCTTGATATGTTGAAATAGTGACAACCAACTGAATCAGTGATGTCTCTGTTTTGCCTTGGTTCCCAATTTGTGTGGCAATATGGTTAGCCTAACTTTCTAATACATTGAATATGATTAGCCTGACTTTCTAATTATTCTTAGACTTCAAAGCCCGCACCAATTACTTAACAACAATTACAGCTCAGGAGATGTCATCGTTGTAAATCCAGCTTGTTTTCATAACTCTGTTTGTTTGAATGGAACATGCGAATCGGTACTCTCCTCTCTGATAAACAGCATTTGGCAAATTAGTGCTCTAAGAACTTGTAAAAGAGTAGATGTGATGTGTTCTGGAGCCGTCCACTTCTTTGCCCTCTAACAAACACTGACGACGCTTCCCGTGTGTCCTTGACTCACTCACCACCCAACAGCGTCTCTTCACCCAGCCGCATGGTCAGAATGAACAGAGTCCCATGCACGCTACAGCAAACATAGTGGCATACAACCCAAAGCATCTTATTCTACTTTTTCTCTTCTCTCTTTTTATCTCACCCTCAAGCATTTCGTTGTTGGACAAAACATGCAAAGCGATCTTACCTTGCGTAGTTGTCTTATGTTAGGAGAAAGAGAATGAAGTCAGAGTTTCTATCCTAATTGAAGACTTGAAAGGGAAGAAAGATGGGTCAGATATCACAAAAGACATCCATCTGTTTGATATCTCTAGTCACGGAACTAAATGGAGCCAATCTTTGACTGATACATTGGCCTGAAATCAGATATATATATATATATATATATATATATATATATATATATATATATAAAGAAAATGAGAATCTCAGATTTATGCTGCTAAATTGTATCGGAAGTTCTCAATCATTGATCATGATCGATAAACAATCCATTGACTGTGATCATTGTCGCTACCGTCGATCACCGGCAGATGGACAATCAGAACCTCAAATAAATAATGTGAAGTGATCATGATTGTTGGCAGCTGAAGTCATGAAATAAAGGCCCATACAAAGTCACTGCGGAAGATGGTCGCTCATGCATCACCATCTCACCCACCCATCAGTAGAAGAAAACCCGAAAGAGAAAACAAATTACAAGGACACAAATGCAGCCAAGCGAGTCAGTAACCAAATTCGTGTTAGGCTCCATTCAGTGGAGTAAATTCAAAGATTATTACATGAAGCTCTATTCCTTGCAATAATCTTTAAATTATAATGCGGACAGCAAGGACTCGAACGTAAATCCAAATGCATGAGTAAAGGACCACGGTCCATGTGATATGAGTAATTAGTTCGATTTATATCGACTCAATTATTAGATAGCAACTGGCTGACGTTTCTTTGATGAAACTGTAAAATACGAAAGAAGGGTTCAAGTCTTAATTGTAAAACCAAAAGAATCTAAATAACCTTTGGTCACTATAAATTGATTCCTGGATTCGGGTTTAGATAGGTGGATATGATCTGATCGGATCACACTTATGCACCGCAATTCTTAATTCGAAGTGGGCAAGAACTATCCGTCACAGATCATCCCAAAGTGAGCATATCAGAGGCGTCCGTCCGAACCCGCGGCGCGGCCGGGACCGAGTCGCTCGCGTCGGGCAAGCCTCGCGGTGCGGATCCCCCGCACAATGCGGACATCACATCCACCGTCCCCCCTCGAGCCAACCGCTCTCCTTGTCGTCCGTCCATCTATCTGGAGGCTCTCCTTCTCGTCCCGGCCCCTCTCACATGAAGTGTCAACACTCCCGGAGAGGAAAAAGAACGCATTTTTACCTCCACTTCGTCTTCGCCGTCGCCTTCGATCTGGTTTTGGTGAAGGAACATAAATGGCGAAGGAATCATCGTCGGTCCCGAGCACGCCACTTCTGAAGGCCGAGCTCGACATCGTGATCCCGACGATACGGAACCTTGATTTCTTGGAGATGTGGCGGCCCTTCTTCCAGCCGTACCATCTCGTCATCGTGCAGGACGGGGACCCGAGCAAGCCGATCAAAGTGCCGGAAGGGTTCGACTACGAGCTCTACAACCGCAACGACATCAACCGCATCCTGGGGCCCAAGGCCTCCTGCATCTCCTTCAAGGACTCCACCTGCCGCTGCTTCGGCTACATGATCTCCAAGAAGAAGTACATCTACACCATTGACGACGACTGCTTCGTAACCGATGCTTGCTCCTCGTTTCTACTTTACTACATCTGTCTATTCTTCTGGGGTTTTGGACATAGTAGTAGAAGATTTGCTATTGCTGAATACGAGGATTTAGAGCGGAAAGATCTGATTTTTCTAACATTCATACGATTTCCTCGAGGTATTCTTGATTTGGATCAAAAGAACTACTTCTTTTCCTCAATGTAGGATGTGACTCAATTGTTTTGCAATTACGTACGACTTATTTGATTCCAACAAAAAGATTGAATCACATCTTTTCCTTTCGCCTCCATGGAAGATGGTTCACTGTTCCGCTTCTATGGGATTTATTTTAGACTTATGTTGAGGTGTTTGATTTGGTGATTTTGCTTGTTTTGATTAGATTTCCTATATCGAACAGAATATTAACTGTATAGATCATGAGTTAGTAATGACTGTTGATAGCAAGGTCTTGAGATCATATCGACCGATCTACTAGCTTGGGGTTTTACAGATCTGAAGAGCAAATCAACTTACAGGCTGTTGTACATTCAGTGACTTTCCCATTGATTCCATAATCTCATCACTAATTCTTAACACAATATACTAGTCAAATCATCATGAATTGATTATCCACCAGTTGTAGCTGCAATTTTGTCAGCTCAATTTTTTTGAATGTCTAATTATCTGATAAAATGGCAATCCAAAAGATCAACTTCAGAATCTTCCAGCAGAAACCCAACTTGATGAGTCAACTATGTCTTCCATGGTTTATGATCCAAGGATGGTAATTAAACTAACAATTGGTAGAAACATAATATAGTTAGGTTCCTTTTAGAACATTAATGATTATCTCATGTGATCCTATGTGAATTCTCCGAGGATATATGTTCATCTTTATTTTCCCTTCATAAGTTCTTTCTATTCTAAATCACTGTTCCAAAATTTCTTAAATAGGTTGTTAAAGATCCCTCTGGTAAGGAGATCAATGCGCTTCAACAGCACATAAAGAATCTCCTGACCCTTCCACTCCCTACTTCTTCAACACCTTGTATGATCCCTATCGTGAAGGTACAGACTTTGTTCATGGATATCCTTTCAGCCTCCGCGAAGGGGCTCCAACAGCTGTCTCTCATGGCCTTTGGCTCAACATACCCGACTATGATGCTCCCACCCAGCTTGTCAAGCCGCGTGAGAGGAACACGAGGTACCATGTGCCCCAACGTTTGAGATCTAATCACTCATTGTCTACCATGCATCCTAATGTTGCTAGCTACTCTGCCTCCTCGTCAGGTATGTCGATGCAGTCCTCACAATACCAAAGGGAACACTATTTCCCATGCGCGGAATGAACCTGGCCTTTGATCGTGAGCTGATCGGCCCTGCAATGTACTTTGGACTTATGGGCGATGGTCAACCTATCGGGCATTATCACGATATGTGGGCTGGTTGGTGTACCAAGGTTAGCAATTGTACCTGTTAGTTTTTACCTTGCATACTACCTGTGTGTACTAGTCTTCTAAAGCAAATCAAGATAATGAAATCAGAACTTTGTTCCATGTCTATTTTGTATGTTCTTAATACTGGTGAAAATTTTCACTAGTTAGATACATTTAAGCAACTCTAAGTCCTAATGTTGATGTCCCAATTTAGGTTATCTGTGATCATTTGGGATTGGGAGTTGAGACAGGGTTACCCTACATCTGGCACAGTAAGGCCAGCAACCCTTTTGTGAACCTGAAAAAGGAGAACAATGGCATCTTCTGGCAAGAAGAGCTAATCCCTTTCTTCCAGACCGCCGTCCTTCCGAAGGAGTGCACCACTGTCCAGAAATGCTACATCGAACAGTCAAAGCAGGTGAGGGACAAGCTCAGCAAGACTGACCCCTACTTCACTAAGCTCGCAGATACGATGGTTACATGGATCGAGGCATGGGATGACCTCAACCCGCCAAATGCATCTTCCAAATTGCCCGATGGCCAAGCCAAGGCGAAGTAGAACAGGTTATGTAGACAAATCCACCATTTGCTTTCTCACTAGTTAGATGGATCAATGCTCATTATGTGTTACTCAATTAGATTCTTTATCCACTCTTATTTATATAATTGGCGTATTTTTGCAGTTTGGCGACTCTAATCTATCGTTCAAAACTTTCAATTTGACAATAAGATGCTAATCTTTTCCAAACTCTGTTATGCTTCTATCTGTGGCCAAGGACAGTATTAACTCTAGGTATTTGGTGGTGGTGAGGAAGGTGCCATCATGGAAGGAAGCAAGAGGAATCGATATCATAGTATCATCTTTGAATAGAATTGAACTGCATCAACCATCAAATGGAGAATGCATCGAAGAGTAAATGGCAAGAAGCCCAATTCAAAGCAGATGGAATTCTTACCTGGTGATCCTGATTGATGTAGGAAACCATTCGATTCAAGATGATATGATTCGTAACTGGTGCGCCGGATTGATGAAGGGAATCAACCAAATCTGCAGCACAAGGCACAAGCAATATCGGATGCCCTCATATGAGTTGCGATTTCCACAAGCGATTGCAGGGCAACGATAATCTAAAGAATGAACAGAAACGAATCGAAGTGGGGGAGAGGGCATGAAGCCATGGCACAGAGAGAGATCGAACCCTAGAGGCGGCTGGAGGCGATCTCCAGGGCAACCCGCTCCCCGCCGCGATAGACACCATCCTCGATCGACGGATCGAAGGAGATACGCAACAAGGGCGAATGGAATCGAGGGGTTGCACGCCGATCGATGGTTTGGGAGGGAAATAGCGGAATTGGGATTCCGGTTATAAATATTGTAGCAAATTTTGCATATATATATATATATATATATACATTTTCAAACCGCAATAAATTTAATTAAAAAATATATATATAAAGGCACAACATTGAGAGAAACTTCGCATACTACTTTATTTAATATCCATTATTTCACCATTAACAGAATAATATTAAGCTTCATTTAGTAGTAATATGAGGTGGCGTGCACCCTATGCATGTCTAGACTTCGTCGACACGAGTCTAGTAACGAACTAAGTTACCCACTCCAACTTCTTTATCAACAATTTATTTTCTACATAATTCTTAAGTTTCTATAAGAAGGAATCCCTCTCTAAGTATATCAAAAGTTTTGAGTTTTGAGTTTAGGATTTAAATACTCTGAAGCTTCATTGGTTTCTTAGAATCCGAATCAGACAAACATCAACCTAAATATGAGAGAAGCTTTGACTTTGCCATCAGCATTGTATGAAATATTCAATATCGCAATTGGAGTCATCCAACAAATTTAGGTCAGACGTCTTAGTCAATCATTAATATTCCGTTTGAGCTTCAAGTGGGGTTCACTATCATATCTTAATCCCATAAACGACATCAAACAAAAAAAGAATAAAATCTCGTTAACGATCAAAATATGCACTAACGCTAACTAACCATATATCTCTATCTATACACTGATCATATACAAAATGCTTGTTAACTAATTATAGATGTTATTAGTGTAATTACGTAGTTGTGGACTTCAACCATAAATTGGGAACTATCAGCATGTTAAATTGAGATAATAATAAAAATGATGTTGTTTATAGGTATCACAAAATGAAAAATGTATAACTTCAAAAGAAAGAAAAATGGTTCTAAGAGCTTCTTAATTCTCTATCGTCAACCAAGATATATGTTTAGAACCGTTTGGAAAAAATATTATTGATATGTTAGTCAATCAGAGATGGCCCGATCCTATACGGGCAGGATTATCTTAAATGACTCTGAAGTGATTTCGAGATAGATCCAAAGTGGAGGCATCGATCTCTCAAAGTGAAAGTATTATACTTTTGATGTAGAAGTATTGTACTTTCAAGGTGCCTAAGAGATGTGTCCAAGGTGATAAAAGCGTCAAGCTCTCGAGATGAAGTATTACGCTCCTAAGTTAGAAGTATTGTGCTCCTAAGGTGTCACTTGCACGAAGACCAAGATCGAAAAGGTTTATCAACTCGGTCATTCTTACGCTCGAATTAGTAATCATAGATCCTTAAATGTGAGCTTAAGTAATTCAAAAAAAGAGAAAGTTATCATTTAGGAACATCGAATTATTAACTTGAGCATCAGAGGAACCGAGTCAAGAAACCTCCCTCGACCTTGGTCTTCGTGTAGGTGATATCTCAGAAAGCATAATACTTCACAATACTTTCATCTCAAAAGCTCAACAACTCCATCTCAAAGATATAAGGAGCATAATACTTTCAGTATAATATTTTCACCTTAGGAACATGAGACCTTTTACCTTTGATTTATCCTGAGTCGTCTCAGAATTGCTTTAGATAATCTTATATATATAAGTTTGGATCAAAACATTGTCCTATGATAAAAACGAACCACCAACGTACAGCAGAAATGATAGATATGATGTGTGTCGGTAAACCGAGTCATACATCCTTTTCGATACCCTTGAAGAGAAAAGGTCATGGCTAAATATGTATTTCCACTAAATAAACAAGTCAACAAATCTCTCTCTCTCTCTCTCTCGCTAAGCAGAAACCGTGTCATATTTTTTTGGTGACAACCTGCATGCATGCGTTTGGATCATACTAAGTTTCCGAATTTTGCTCGTCTCTCGTGTCATACGTTTGAGCCCCAATAATGCAATGTTCCGATTTAAAATCCCAATCATGTGTACGTTTTGATTAATATTTAGGTCATTATTTACCCTCGAAATATTATTTTTTGAGTACACCCTTTGGGTGATGACCAATATAATATCATGTTAATAACCCTCAGTGGTATGTTCACGCTGGATAAAAATAAATACAATAGACGATGATAATAACTCAAATATATAAAGTCTGATTATTTTCAGTCCGGTTTATATCAGATGATATTCGAGCTAATGTCATTAAGATTAATTCATAAATGTCAGATCAGAAAACGAGATATAAAGTTGCTTATATGGATCCTAATTTTCACCATCAGGGAGGGTTAAAAATGATTGCTGCTACAAATTATGATTTCAGAGTCAATTTCATTTTTGTCATTATCTTCACAAAGATCAATGTTCAAAATGACCGGATTTGGTAAGCAATTCTATAAAAAATTATGTCAATTGCACGTCGACAAGATGCAAATTAGTTTTGAAAATTTGATAGAATAATCCGGGATTCGAGGTTTGGAGAGTCATACTTAAGTTATATGAGGCTTCGATAACCACTGAGAGAAAGCGAGAGAATATTTACATGAAATTATATTCTGATATGAAGAATCAATCGTGCTAATCATATGTAGTAATCGACTAACATGTCATACTAATGAAGCGTCCACGTAGGTGTGAAATTAGTAGTAATCGGACGTTGGAATCTCCATGTCGGATTCCCTTATCACTCATAAATATTTATTGATCTTTTTTACTAACTTAATCTTTTAAATTTATTGACTATTCAATTTTGATCGCAAGTGATACATTCTATCTTTCATCTTCTTTCCTAATGTTTAATTAAAAATTACTTATCATTTAGTTTCATTCACACAAAAGCTTATAAATGTATGGAGTCTTTTTCCTATCACTTCGAGGCTTTGAGATTAATGACCACCAAACGAAATTTTATATCTGGGGCCAACGAATCTAACATGCGGGCGATGCTTAGATTGCTGTGTCGGCCAATAATTTGCACTTCGGATAAGATTAAATAGCCGTGTAACACCGGTTTCGAAAATATATTATATATTTCAATATTATCCATCCCAATAGTGGGCTAATTACATATTTATTACCTCAAGTAGTTAGTTAGTTTAGTAACCCAATCCTTATTTTTAAAAAGATATATTATATTTTTATAGTTATAAAAGTAAAATATTTAATCTTATTTTTCTTTACGGTATTGACTCTACCTACGGACGAAAGATAATTGTCATGTGTAATAATAGCACTAAAAAGAGAGATAAAAAAATATTTTTATTTGAATCTACTATGGAATATCATGATCAGCAAAGAGCCATCGGCCTTACACGTGTCATCGACATCATCATCGAGTTGGTCATTCGAGAGGATTACAAAGTCTGAGGAGGAGAAGATAACGAGACAGGAGAAATGGGAGGATACGAGGATAACCACCGATGCTATTGTTGGATAGATAGAGAATAACAAAGTTGAAAGGGAGGATAGGAAAGCAAAAAAAAAATAAGACACGATACAGGAGATTAGGGTTGTCATTCACATCGCTATTGGATATGTCATTTAGGAGGATAGCGAAATTTTCATAGTAATTATCTTTCTATGAAATTAATATTTTTTGGATGATGAGGATAGTAAAATTATTTTTTTTAATTTTTTATATTATTTTTATATATGATAGTATGTGCATTATCTTCAGTCGATAAAATTGTGTTAAGAAATAAAATTAAATATTTTACTTTAATATATTAATATATTTTTTAAATATAAAGGATCAATGTACTAAAACTAACTTAACTATATGGATAATCTATAATTAACACCAACAGCACTGCAACAAGTTGCGGTTTTCAATATAATCCGAAACAGCAACACTTAATATCAATGCACTGCCGAAGCTTACCACATGCATGCATGCACGTACGCATGCATGGTTCCAAGACGCGTCCGGCCCCCTTGGGCTCTCAGCACATCGGCTTCCTTTCCATGCCCCTACTGCTTCATGTATTGGCTATTACCCTAAACTAATTGATCATCTCATGTACAACCCCTTGATAATCTCATACAAGTACTTGACACTCTCTTCAGTGTGGAAACATCCCTTCATTGGATATGCAGTCAAAGACAGCAGCACCTAAGTTTGTGGCTTACAGACTATGTTTGAATGTGATTTTATTCTTACTATAAACCCAATAATTCTCCTTTCGAGGGATGAATTATTGTCCTTGGGTCTTCCATCAGGTATCCAATGATATCATTATACTGTTCCCACCCAGAAAAGGCATTCTTTTTCCTGTGGGAAAATAAGGACTAACGTGATAGGTAGGAGATGCCACACTGTAGTTCCATACTGTTCTAAGACCAGTAGCAGTACATATCATATTGATGTATGAAATGTACCAATTCCAGTCAGTAAAATCTGTACCATATGTTAAAAGTTAGAACACTGATCTCAATTTTCACCTTGTGATGCAGTACGATTATGTTACACGTCCTTTACTTACTGTCTTGCAAAGTTAAGGCAAGTCCACTTAGAATCCAACTTACAAATGCAATGTATGGGTCCAGCAGTATTTGTCATACACATATGCGACGGCAGCGGAAGAAATCACCGTAAGCTATGTGGGCAAAGAAAGTGACACTCGATGTCTGAGCCATATCACATAGTTGAAAGAAAAATCACTGCTTTTTTGGTGTCCATCTTCAAAAATAAGAGAAGGAAAGAGATATTGGCGTTATTCATTTCTTAATTCTTAGTATCTCAAACATATAAAATTGAAAACGGATAGAGACAGGAAAAACCTATATTTTCTAGATAAGACATGACATGACGATCATTAAAAGTCAATTGACTCGAAGTTATTAAACTAAGACGTTTTCCAACTACCAAAACAATCGATTGAAAAGACAGAGAACGGTCTATACAATCCAAAAACAACAAGTTATGCAAGGTTTAACAACAATGTAGAAAATTCAATTTGATTGAGTTATTTTTTGATACAAATAATGCCTAAAATATGGTTATGGAAATCATGTGTAATTAATAATCGATGGCTTCCACCGGCCGCCGTCACAAGAAAAGGATCGGACGGCGGAGAAGAAATCAGAGTTAAGAGTAAGTGGGAAAGTTGGTTTATTGCAAAAGCCTGGCTTCGATCCGTACGATGATACGCGTGTGGTCGCTCTGTGTCGCTGCACACACCACCACTCTTAACGGCAGCCATCCGACCAATCACAGCTCGACAGCGTGGTCTCCACGATACTGCTCTGGTTTTCTATAAAACCGCCTTCCTCTCTCCCCAACGCAACTGCCTCCTCTCTCATCCCTCTCCCCTCCTCCTCCTCCTCCTCTTCTTCTCCTTCCCCATCGGCTCCTTCTTTGTATGCTGTTTTGCTTCTGAGATCGTCGTCGGTGGGCCACCGGTCGTGGAGACGCGATGGGGCGAGGGAGGGTGCAGCTGAAGCGGATCGAGAACAAGATCAACCGGCAGGTGACCTTCTCGAAGCGCCGATCGGGGCTGCTCAAGAAGGCCCACGAGATCTCCGTCCTCTGCGACGCCGAGGTTGCCCTCATCGTCTTCTCCACCAAGGGCAAGCTCTATGAGTACTCCACCGACTCCAGGTGCGCCCGCTCTTTCTACCTCCCTATCCTACTTCATCCTCGATTGCCTACCTTTTCAGCTTCGTTTCCCTAGGTCTGAATCTTTTGACATGAACCCTAATTCTCATCTCTTCTGTGACTGCTCATGTACGCGAAAATTGGAATGAACTGTGGTGGATAAATGGGCCCTGATCTGTTTTCTGCTTGTGTATTGTTGACGAAATCCAGGGACCTATTCTAGCACTGCTGTTCTTCGTGATAATTCTTTGTTTTGCCTTTTCGTTTCTCCTCTGTAAATTTTTCGAGAAAAAGAGGATTGATTTTTTTTTCTTCTTTCTTGTATAATCCGCTTTGTTGTTTTTGTTTTGTATTCTTCTTCCTTGTTTTAGAGGGTAAAGATCCGACTTTTCCGATTTTGGGGTGAATACATTAATCTGCAACTCGAATACATTTATATGTTTGCTTGAAATAGCTGTTGTTTGCCGGGTCGTGTTTAAAGTAGGCAGCCATGGCTCACTGAAGTTTGATACCACGAGAAGTAAGGGTTCTTATTAACCATTACTACATCGGGTTTCCGAAGATTCCAACGGTTGCTTGGAGTGTTTCTAGGGTTTCGTTTCTTTGGTTTCCCTTATGTCCTTTCTGGTTGAGTTGTGATCCGTTCTCAGGCCGGTCAACTGTGAAGTGTTGATATTGTTTCAAGTGTAATTCTTTTGGTGTTAGGACTTGGACTTGTGCGCTCTTCTCAGCGCGTTGAGTTTGGTTCGTCTTCTCCGGTATGCCATCTTGGAAGCAAATCTAGGGTTTTCATCTTTTGGGCAACTATTGTTATACTCAAATTTAGAAACATGTTCTTATGCATAAGCTCCTCATGTCAATCCTCCATGTTTGACTAACTCTTTTTTAGCTTCTTCTTCTCAATGTTTTCACAAGTCGACTATCTACTGAGATTATGTGACCTCTCTTTTGATGAATAAGCGTCCGATCCTTTCTTGTTATCCACCATGGCCTCAGCATTAAACTTCAGTTATTAGCTTTATTTTTAGGGTCCTATCTGATGCTATAAGATTTGCTTTTGATGCCAGCCACCTCATCTTTCAACTGATGATCCTCGTCTCAGTTACATGTTTAATAAATTATATTCATGACTGCTTTCTCTACCTTGTGGAAGTAGATATAGGCTTTCCTTTTTCAAATTTGAGTGTATCTTTCCCGATATGAATATGAGGCTCCAATAAATATGTGAAATAGTGCATATAAAAAATTGGAGCTTCTCATGAGAAAGCTTCTAAGATTTCATCAGCAGGTATTCTCTCTCTACAATATCCTAATAGGCCAAATCTGCAGAATTTGTTTTGTGGCCGGCCTATTTTGCTTGTTGATGTGGGAGGATACAAGGAGTTCTGATATATTATATAAAAGGATTGTGCTGCAAACTAATTATCATTCTTTCTTCAAGTTCTGATATTTTGTCTCATTGATTTTATGGTGTGTTGATATCTGGTGTACTCATTCAACTTGAATTAGAGTCGTTATCAACTTGAATTACTAATCAAAATTAAAATTTGATGTCTCTTAATAAATTTGAAATTTTATATGTGGTTGGAGGCAATTTCTGGTGCAAATTATCTTCGAGGTTAGTGCAGTACAAGAGATACATAGAAAATGCTGTAGAGGTTCATTGTCCAATTAATTTCTAGGTTATGTTGCAACCGCAATGAGAATGAAGTTTCCCACTGATTTCATTGATAAGCATGTAGAGATAACTCTCTAAACATTTATTATCATAATGGCCCAGGACTTTTCCTATTTGTAATCGAGACAAAATATTGTATCTAGCACATCCTTATCATGTTCGTGTGTCAATTGTTCTCTACAGCATGGAAAAGATTCTTGAACGTTACGAGTATTACTCCTACGCAGAAAAGGCTCTTATGTCATCCGATCAAGATTATCAGGTTAGTGAACTCATCTGCCCATCCATGTAGTAATCTTGTACGCCTCTACACCTTACATCAAGTTCTCAGTTTTCAGACATTCTTTTATGAGTTTATACAAGATATTGTTTTCTTCGACCTAATTGTACGTGTATCATTGATTGCTTTATCATATACCGTATTAGTTTCAGTTTTATGACTTCAAAATTTGCCTCTTACTGAACACCCAGCTATCGTAAAGACATGAGTAGTCCATTTTATTATTTCTGTTGCTCTGGATTTTTTCTTGTGGCATGATTTTAACTGTTCCACCTGCAAGAGTACATGAGCTCGGTGGAATACGTGGGTAGATATGGAATGAAATGGTAGATAGAGTGTTATCTTATAGGAACAGTTTTTTTCATTCACGCTCTAATCCGAATTATAGCATACATCGAACACATTGATAACAACTTATTTCATGAACGAGAGAATCTTCTCAAATGATTATCGGCATGAGCTGCAAAGAAGATCAAGCGTAGTTATCGATAAGCAGCAAACTGCATGTTGATCAATTGATCAATAGATGATAACATGTTATGGTGTCAATGACTTGGTTTATGAACAAAAATGGCTCTGACCATTGTGTTCTATGAGAGAACTCGTTGAGTATTTCTACTTGATATAACGAGGAAATGAGGAATAAAGAGCCATCTTTCCTTGTATAGTGTTGGTTGAGGTCATGACTTCTACCATGATAAAAAAATTGCTTAGCAAGTAGAGAGCATTGCTGGAAGTTCTTTAGCATCTGAGAGATGCATCATGACTTTTAACATATGACACAAAATTGAAGTATGGAAGTACTATATCATGGATGATTAGCCACATATAGTGTCATTTAGGTTTTCCTAATAGCGACTGTCTTCGATTAAGCTATTGGATTTAATCACTCCATAGGTCTATATAACTTAGATTTTTGCGACACAATTGGCATGCTTGGTTGTGTTATGAAAGAAATGAATTAATCAGAAAAAGGTAGTTTAACTAGGAGAGATTATGACCATGTTTATCTCGATCAAGGGTACTTAATGCTCAAGTTGGGCTTTATTACTATTTTTTTACCACAAGAAAATGATCGAGCTTAGTTTAATACATAATTGATCGAACCCACCTTGAGCCTTATTTTTAACAACCGATCTCGAGTCTCCATCGGCTGACTTGTCAAGTTCAGATTATTATTCAATTTTCATGATTTATATGAGACTCGTTAGAAGCTTGTTTCAACTAAATTCAATATTTTAACCTTGATGCTTTGAATTGCATGTAATTTATGTGCAGAGAAATACATGTTTATTTGTCTAAACGTGAATGATACCTGTTGATTATTTGTATAAGGGCCACGAAAAACTTGGTGCAATTAACAACCCATAAACACACTGATGGTTCGTCAGATGGGAAATAGACTCATAAGACTGGAAAGGATTATCAAAATAAATCCAGTTCACCAAAGAACTTCCCAATCTACATGAAAGATGAACTGTTACGTTGGTCAAGTATAAATTAAATAAGAAAATCGTTTCTCCTTTTATGACATGCTATCGGTAATAAGAAGGGGTCCTACTAGTTCTAGAGGTCGGACATTAAGGACTAGGAAAAGGTTCATGTTGATCTAACATTTAGCATTCATCAAGTTAATTTCTACTGCATTTAGTTCGGGATATAGTGTGTTCTGCACATCTTACACGAGAAAGATGCAGGACATCGTCCATCACAGTAGTTTCACGTCATGGACAATGTCTAGCAGTAACTCCATTGTTTTTGGTGGACGCATTTCTACAACTTCTTAGGAGAGCAGTGTCATTCCAAGACTTAAAGGTGCAAAAGATGGACTGCTTGTGTTAATTCACTCGCCTGAAGGAATCTATTTCCCACCGAAGCTATCTCAGGTGTCTGTAAAATGTCCATCCTTTACTAAATTAAGGTAGCAAAATGAATGTAGAAGCAGAGATCTAGATGCATCGTATTGGGAGTTCACATCGAGTAAGATTACCGGCAAAGAATGCCATCTCAATGGCACTGATCGGGTAGAAGTCACAAAAGGATATAGACAGCTCACAGTTGGATAAATATTTGTATATAGTATCCTTAATTTGTACGTTTGAAAGATCTTCCCATAAAGTGGTGTCATATGTCGAGTAAGAAAAGCAGATGGAGGGTTCATGTACTGGTCTTTTTTTTTTATATTTCTAGTTCATAGTGTAAACATGACAAAAAGGGTAGAGATTAATGGGAACAGTGTCAATAGTGAAACTTGACATTTTTTAATTGACTGATAGAAAACTATTGTTTGAAGATGTTAGCTAACCTAATTGGTAAAGATCATAATTATTTATTACTATGTCTTGAATCTCGTCTTCGTCACACATTCTTTACGTAAAATAAATTATCTTGATTTATATTTTCCTTCTCAGGGTCTTTTTTTTTAAATAAATATTATCGGGATCTAGTTCCACGCATCATCATAGGGGGCTTGTGAGATACGAATTTCCAAGATGCATTCGACTAGCGCAGGATGGAAGCTGTAGCTAAGCTTTCCCGAGTCCCAGGATCTTGCAACAAAAAGGAGCAAACACACGACATTCTGGTTGACCTATGATTGTCCCAAGAATGCATGTCTCCATATTTAGTAATTTAAATTTTAACCCAAAATTTATTTTCATGATTAGGGATAGAAAGGATACGCTTTGTGTTGATGGTTTGCTTAACCAATTTGAGGTCCTTGATAGAAAGTATACCCAGGCCTCCCCATTGTAGGCCCAAATTAAGGATCGCTTATAAAATATAGGATTCCAATTTCAGTTAATATTCAGGCGACAAATTTACAATGAAGGCTCCTTTTTGTTCTGAGTGTTTGCTGTGACAACAAACATACAATGTTCGTTACATTTAGGCAACAAGATATCACATATTTTACGAGTAAATGATTTTTACTTAACATGTAGATATGTTTTATCTATCATAGGTATCCTTCAATTACTCTTTTAGGACATCTTCAGGAGCATGAATTATACTTAGTTTGCATACCCGTTTGCATCATGGAAAGCTTCTGCTAACAGTTAACCAATGAGATGTTACCCTATAGTTTGAAGACGAAAATATATTTGTGCTACTAGCTTCAGGTATTATTTTATAGTATAAAGTTCATGCAAATTGAGCCATCAGTTTATGATATCTACTCATGTATGTCTTGATATTGTAGAACATGAGTTTCAACAGATCATAAACAACAAGTCTCGAGGGCAAGCTAACATAGATCACTAATATTTCGTTGGATAATGTTCAGGGCAACTGGTGTCAAGAATATGGAAAACTTAAGGCTAAGGTTGAAGCTTTAAGTAAAAGTCAAAGGTGATCAAATTATGACACTGCTAAGAGTCATATATCAAGTGACGTACCAATGACTAGTTCAAGTTCAAATACTTCGCAGGCATCTAATGGGAGAACAACTTGAGGCCTTGAATCTTAAAGAACTCCAACAACTGGAGCATCAGCTTGAAATTTCTCTGAAGCATATTAGGTCAAGAAAGGTAATTCTCGTTACATTTGCTAATGTCAAAATGAAGGTGAATCTCTCGGACAACGAAGTCATAAAAGCTGATGGATTTGTCATGGTGCAGAACCAAGTCATGTTTGACTCCATTGCTGAGCTTCAAAAAAAGGTAATCTTCAGAATCTTTAGCATAAATTCCATAATTATCTGTTAGCTATCTTCCCATTGCATTTGACTTATCTAGTGGCCCAAACTGTGCTAGAGAAAGGGAAGCCCGGGACAACTACACATGCACTGCTATTAATACTCCAGGCTTAGAATGGCATGCATGGGGAGAGAGTCACTTAGTTTTCAGTTGCTAAAGCATGAACAAGGATAAAAAAGAAGTAAGATATGATATAGCATGAAGTTATAATTCCCCAACTATTTGTAGTAAGATAGATAGGTTTCTTTTTTTCTTGCCATTAGCTCTATTATGGGCAATTGAAAAAATAAAAACCTGACTACGATACCGAAACATATTTTAAATATGTAATAAGAGATTCAACTAGCCCAGCCATGACATTTGTTTAGAAGCCTGAAGCCGCAAATAAACACTAAAGCTAGGAAATAGTTACAAGTATCACTAGCTTATTTACTAGTCAAGAAGTTATTGTGACAACATAATGCTATGTGGTACTGTGAACTTAAATGGAAAAGCAAGACCAGACCATGACTTTAATTTCATTAATTTTATGTGATTCTCCAAACTGAAATAGAACAATTATCCATAAATTCTAAAAAGGGCCAACCTAGGAAAATATCCATAAAGATATCTCATACTACATGTAAAGTGTAACTTAACAGTAATCTTGGAGGGATGGTTCCTTTATTCCTTTAGAACAGGCAATTGAAGTATCATAATTAGCACGACGCAGCTACCAATTTCTCCTGGGCATGAGTTTGACGTCCTCCGATAGCCCCTGGGACAACATCTCTATGGTTAACAATCTTAAGTTCTGTGATAATTTCTCTGTCAGTCATGGAGGAGGGCTTTTGGAGCTGCTCGACAGCGAGCTTAGCATACTTTCACAGCACCACACAGTTTACTAGAATAGAACGGTCAGAAAAGATTTAGCTATTGCTATCTTTTCTGAAATCAGCATGATATGCAAAGAAAGGCTGTATGGGTTTTTCGTCAACTGTTGAAGCCTACAATAGTCTGAAACATGTAATTCATTTTAAATCAGATAGTTATCTAGTAATTGGTATTAAATTGAATAAGTAGTCGCTGGATGCACATGATTTTACTTTTGAGCTTCGTTAGCTGCCAGGATATTGGCCTGCTGGAGTTGTCATCCCCTATAGTTGTCAGCTTAATTTCTTAAACCTACACATGGTAGCTTATAAATATAGTAAGCATGATGAGACCAGCTGATTCAGAATGATGCCAAGGTTAAAACTCTTTAGCTCTTGCTTTGCAGAACTCGTGTGTGTGGTTTTCCAAAAACCTTGATAAATGATTCATGGTCTAGATGACATTTCACTCGCAGCAAATCGCCATGAATTAGCTCTGTGACTTGGATTTATTTTCATGCACAGGAAAAGGCTCTGCAGGCGGCAAACAAGACTTTGGAGCAGGAGGTAACAAAACTTCCTGCATGTTGCTTCATAGTTAAATGCAGTTCTGCTACTCTGAACTCGGCTTTCTTGCGATCGATCTGAGCCAGCTCATGGAGAAGCAGAAGATCAAGGCTATTACCCAACAAGCACACTGGGAACAAGCCCAGACAAGCTCCTCATCACCACCCCCCTTGATAGCGGAACCCCAACCTACTCTCAACATCGGGTATTTCCAGCTGCATAATCTCGTATTAGTTTGCTGCTTAAACAACGTAGGTTGCTTCTGCCACGCACACCCATCACAATTGCATGCTGTTCATGTACTTTAGTCTCAAGATTCGTTGTTTTTCTTTAAACAAAAAAAAAATATCTGTGAAAACTTGTGGCTCCATCTAGAAATTATTTTTTCTAAGCACCTTGCAACGAATATTTGTCCTTAGTTCGTCCACTTACACTGTAAAGAAGTAATCTTATTTTCTAAAATATATTTCGCTAATCATCATTTGTCTTATATGAATAGAAATATTAATCATGGATGGGTTTGCAAATATTTGTTCCAGTCAACCATCAATTGTTGCCATCTTAATTTAAGATGGCAGCTACTGCTTTCATCTGAAGCAATTACCAGAGTCGAATGTTTTCTTAGAATTTACCTTCCAAGGTCAAACTTCCCATGATGCAGGTGTTACCAAGGGATGGCCCTCGCCGTCAGGGAGGAAGCTTCACGGCTTCCGGTACGGATCAGTAATAGCTTGTTGCCGCCGTGGATGCTCCGCCACTTGAACGGCTAGTGGTAGCATCTTTTCTTCCTCCCATCGACACCCTGGAAATAGTGCTAATATATGATGATGCGAGACTACCATGTTCCAGCTGATGTCTCCAGGTATGTCTTGGTTTGCTTTTGTTTGGGTTCCGTCTCTGTATTTCCAATAAGTAATTGGGACCTTAAGAACCTACATTATGCTTGATCCTAATATGGATGAATCTTATACCACCTCTGCTGCCTTTGTGTGTGTGTGTGTGTGTGTGTGTATCATGTAGAATTGATGATTTATTGCTAAGCAGTGCTAATAGCTAAAGCTTCATATCTGACATAGATAACTATGTTCTCTGAAAGATGATAACAAAGACAATTGTGATGATGAGGATGGTGATGTACTTCCCATGTAACTTCCTGTTCTCCCTGTGAATAGTAGCCAGCCGACTTCTTTGAACAGCAAGCTCATGTGTCCTCAACAAAAAGCATCATCTGTAAGGCAACAGAAGTTGGAAGCTGATGTTTTGATGGAAGAAAGAAACCAACATAAGAAAGGAACTCACCCTGCCACAGACTGGGCATGTTTCACTTCTTTCCATCCACTCATACATACAACTCATGTGGAAATGATGAGTGCATTGCAGCGTAGTCCGAGAATTTTCATCTCTGTACTCTGCAAACCGATGCAACAATATTAGACCGCGGGAGTTCAGTACAAAGATTCTGCAGCCTACACATACTTAGTGCACCAGAGCAAAGGAAATCCTGCAAGAGATTGGAGCTTAGGATGATAGATCGAAGAGATGAATGACATGAGAAGCACATGCTAATCTACCTTCAAGACAAATTGGACAAACATCTTCGTCTTCGGAGATAGCGTAAATGTGTGCCGGTGCTGAGTGATTGAATATTCCATCACAGTTCAGTTCGGATGAGGCTCGCCTGCCATGGAGGTGCCCTGAAGCCTTGTTGGACGCGCAGCATGTAGGATCATCGGGAGAACAATGTGCACCCGCTGCAGAATCGTCTTCCGGTGAAGCAGGAGATGCGGGAGTTGACTCCTGATCAGATGAAGGTTGAATGCGTCGTTCTCGACGAGGATTAAGATCATACTGCACAACACATGACGCATTTGGATGTCGATGGATAGGTGACAGCCAGTCATTTATATTAACATACGGGTAAGAAACGTACAACATTCAGGCTGCGCAGAATCAAGCATCTGAGATCGCAAACAGGCCCCCGGTGATGCTCTTCCGCTTCCGAATCATCCACGCCCAAACAGCAAAGAACAGAACCCATAAACCCTATGCAAGGCTGTCGATCTTCCACATTATCCTGCACTACAAGAAAAAGGAAAAGTAATCAAGAACCAATCTTCTCTTCGGGTTGCAGAGCACGAACTCAGCAAATGGATGCCAACTTATTGTCAGACAGAGATGCAGGAAGATGAGATAAGAAGATAACACGAAGACGATGTGGTTGAGATAGCGATCAAAGTCGGTGGCGTTTTGGTAACCGGAGACTCTACCGAATCGAGATCTTTAATCGCCCGCTTCGGATGGGGCGCCGAGGACGCAGGCGAAGGGAAAGAAAAAAAGGATCCTCGGGAAGATTTTGGTCGCAAGTGCGAAAAATCCGCACCCCGGACGAGAGCTTGATGGGGCGTGGATCCTCTCCGATTCTACATGTACGACAGGCTCTGTTAACCACATCTCGACCGTGAATAGTTGCGGCATCGTAAAAAGATCCGTTGACTGCTTGGAGAGGATCCCAACGGGAGGGTCTTCCTTGCACTGCGTAGTTGCAACGAAGAAGAGGGAAGACGATATCTGCACCCCCGTCGACGCGGAGGTTCGCATTCATCGAACGGCTGAGATCAGAACTGTCGCTGACGTATTTACATTTCTACCCGCTCACGTACCTGCTTCGTTGTTCGTTCCAGCCGCGGGGTCGCGTGGGACTCGTCTGATGGGTGGGAGGTCCGTGGGCGGGTAGGAAATCTAGATGCGTTTCCTGATCAGCAATGGAGGGGTACGTCACTTGCTAATGTGCAGGTCCACCGCAGTCAACGAGTATTGTGTGGGCGATCCAATGATGGATTCAGAGTGGTTCTTCCACCATCCATTATTACAATTAATTGGTCTGCCACTGATGCCAGAGGAGCGTCCACCATGATGATGTAATTGGCTCCACACACCAAAGAACGTCACAAATGTTTCGGCCAAATTCTTGTCCGTCACAATCAGAGTGTACCATCTCGCTCTCGCCGGAGGAATAAAGTTGGAGTCCAAATTAGAGACAACAGAAGAAGAAGAAGAAGAAGCGCGAGCGAGCGAGTCGGGATGGGATCCTTTGCCGTACGCAAAGCAACTCGCCTTCGCGCATCTCAACCGTGGAATATGTGGGCTCCATCTAATCATAACGGGAAGGGACGATCGACAATGGGTCGCGGGAGCGTGAGGTGGAGCGGAGTCCCGATAGCCAAACCACGTTTCGATTTGGGTTCACCGGGGACGAATGGAGATGCCGTCCGCTGTTGACGCTCCGACCGGGCCGGCAAGTTTAGCGGTAAAAGCCGAAGCGCCCGACGAATGCGTTACGGTGACGTTTGCGTCCCATGGAATTCACTGACCACGCGAACACCTCGTGATTCGTGTTGATATAGATCATAGAACGCAGACGATGGTGTGCCAGCTCATATGTTTTATCGGATATAAAACAGATGTATATGACCAATCCGCATGAACAGAGACAACGACACACGACCACATCTTCAATGGCATCCACTGTAAATATATAAATCATAATTATATTATTATTATTAAAAAAAACTTAAATCTATAATACTTATCATCATTCAAAAATTATAACGATATCGATCTTTACAGGAAAACTAGACGTCTCTTCTCATTCTCTTTCTATTATTCACAAGATCATTATAAGTAATAGATTATAAATAAAAAGATAAAACTAATATTTAAAATCCATAATTATTTTTTATTATTGATCTATAATTATTTTTTTCTATCTTAATAGATATATAAGATAATAACTAACTTGTCATCCATTTGTCTGTTTTTATAATACTTCAATTGCACTCATGGTTGAAATCTCGAAAGAATCTTCTGACGAATCAAGTAAATTTTTTTCATGCTTTTTATAATTCGATATAAAAAGCTTAACAAAGAGATTTTTTTTAAGATGCGTACTTAAAAGACTTAATTACTAATTTGAGTATCGAAGAAATCGGATGAAGAAACCTCTTTCGATCTTGATCTTTTTATAAATGACACCTTGAGAGTTTTACGTTTTTACCTCGAAAGTTACCTTGAATAATCCTACATGTATGAGTCCGAACCACGTCGAATTAACTAAGATATTAATAATATTTTTTTTCTAATACTCCTAAAATATTTACGTTGAGCTCGAATAATGCAACATTTGAAACTAACAGCTATGAGTGCTTAAATTTTAATTAATTTCATCTCAAAACTCATCCATTTGACTCGAAAGGAACATCGGGCAGATCAACCTTGCATCTTAGGTATGGATAAGACGGCCACCACAATCGAATAAGTAATATTCATCTTGCAAAACCCCAAAAACCAAGTCTAAGAATAAATTTTATTTATCTCTATTATCAGATATAACTTCGTAAAGGTAAATATCACATGTAATTGTAGTAGTGCTTTACCTAACTTAATCATTCATCTGGATATAACAATCCACATGAACGTACACTAAGCCAGCATGTCCTGATCTCGGTCCATGGAGGACATATATTTCTCCTTTACCGGGGAGGGGAAGCTTCACTGTGGGGCTGCTAGCTTCAGAGTAAGGCTTATCAGTGACGGCCATTACATCTTTTCATGCAAGCTAAGGTCGTAGTACTGTTGGTCCAATGACTGTGAACAAGTGATCGAAGACTGTGCCACATGAGCACACAGCAGATCCCTTCATGGCCCAGCCACTGGTACCTCAACTCGTGGTGAGAGATATGGTTGCAGCCAATCACAGCCTCTTCTTCTGCTTCACTGTCACCGCCACTGCCACTGCCACTGCCACTGCCACTTACAAAGATCTCTCCCTCCCCTCGTCTCGCTGGAAGCTTCAGCCTCGTATTCTTATCCCAACCCACCCCCGCAAGATGTGTGTGTGCTGAGAGGGACAGGCAACGACCACGTTCCCATGGAAAAAGATGTGCAGGGCAGGACACCACCAATCACCGTTATACAAAACCTCAAGAACTTTCAGTAGCCTGTTCTTGGTAATGAGTTGAATCTTCCTTGCATTTGATTAGAGGATTTCAAGCATGTAATACATGAAATTCCATGGGTACTCTTGAAACTATTTGATACAGATGTCGCAAATCTTCATAAAGTAATGGCTTCGAACTCGAGATTTATGAGATGAGATTTGGATGATACCAGCTTTTTTTGCGTCAAATTTTGGAGGTTGCAAAGAAACATCACACTGCAAAAAGAGCAGAAACTTGAAAGCAGAGGGTATAGGATTCAGCTTCCAAAAGCTCATCTTTTCTGAACTCCAACAAGATAAGAGAACTGCGCCACCAAATCCATGCAATTGTTTCATTACAGGAAGAAGGAAGAGAATGGGACTAACAAATTTGATACAGAGAAGAAGAACATGAGACATGTATTAATATATGTATCTGGCCATGTCTACAACTCGGAACAATAATTAGCCGTCGATTAAACCCTGCCTTGCCTTCCGATCCCTGTGGAAGAAGATGAGCTCCCACCACCGTCGCCATTGCCGCTCCCCATGCTGTTCTTTCCCGCCATGGCCATCTGATGATGGTGGTGATACGAGGATGAGGATGGCGGTGAGCCGTATATCTGTTGCCCCATCATCATCGTCATTCCGCCGCCATACATCGCCGCGCCGCCGCCGCCGCTGGCGAAACCGCTCACATTGTTCCCCATGCTCATGGCAACGCCACCGCCGCCGTCCTTCTGCTGTGGCTGTGACAATGACGACGAGCCGCCGCTCTTCTCGCCCTCCATCTCCCGGAACCTCTGGAGGTAGACCTTGAGGGGCTCGGCGTACTCCTCGAACCCGAGGGTGGTCATGGCCCAGAGGAGGTCGTCGCCGTTGATGGTCTTGCGCTTCTCGCGCTGGCACTTGTCGGAGGCCTCCCCGGTGATGAAGCTGATGAACTCGGACACGCACTCTTGCACCGTCTCCTTGGCGTCCTTGGAGATCTTGGCGTTGGCCGGGAGGGCCTTCTTCATGATGCGGCTCACGTTGGCGATGGGCAGGAACCGGTCATGCTCCCGCGGCGACGACAGCTCCCCCGCCGCCCCCGTATTGCTGTGGTTCTGCCCGCCCGATTCGTTGTCCGAATCGGCCATCGCGAAGCCTCAAAGACAAACAGAATTCGCCAAAAAACCCACCAAAAATCTCGTCTTTTTTCGCGATTTCGATGGACAACTCAACGAGAAGGAGACTCTTTTTTTGGAGATTGTACTGAGGAGTGTCACTAGAGGAAGAACAGGGTCGACAAGGACTCAAAATTTCGCCTTTTTTCACCCAGACAAGAGGAATCAAGATCAAGATTGAACAGGGATCACGCGAAGCTAAGATCTCAAGCGATCGAGATGCCACAACAGTGGAGAACAGAGTAATCGCCGGCTCCGCGTGTGGGCAGAATCGATTCGATCGAGGAGGAAGAAAGGGGGCGAGAGAGTATGGGATGAAATCCAAGATGAGAACTTTCTCATACGCAAGGGGGGAACGCGATCGGAGGAACCCTAGAAACCCTCGAATTCCAAGGATCAACGACGGTGCGTCCCGCTCCAAAGTCTTCACCCCCCGAAGGAGAGAGAGAGAGAGAGAGAGAGGGGGATGCGTCTTAGTCGGATACTTAGTCCTAATATCGCATCGGGAGGGACGCGTGGCAGTCAGCTGGCCGTTTGTTTCTCGATAAGGATGGGTCGTGTGGGATCCTACTGACCGTCGATGAACCGCCTCGACGTTGATCTTAGCCGTCGGTTGTAGTCGGCATGACGACGTTGATACAACAGCAATGTGGCTTCTCGCTGACCAACTAAATCATAAAGCGAAGATTGTGACACCATAAAAGAGGAAACTCTCTCGAGGCGGGCGGGAAGATGCATATCTATGCACGTGCCATGCACGTGATGGGCAAATAATAACATTTTGATCGAAAAGGCAAAATTGCATTTTTAGTATTTATCCCTCTAATTTAAAACCCTTGTAAATCATTAAAGGTACAACATTAAAGTTCTAATCGGCATTAATCTCTCTTTTACAGCAACACTTTAAAATGATGAAATTATTAAGAACATTTTAACTTAAATTTACTACCATTACACTGATAACTAATGATTAACCTGAATTTTCTGAATATATATTGACAAGGAAGGTAAATATGGATATGCATGCTATATTAGAATTTATTAGAGCTAATATGCTATTTACAGAACAAATGACATGAATGCATCCATCACAATTGGCTTGACAACTTGAGCAGTTTCATCAAAGTTTATAGTCAGAGGATACAAAGACATCATCAAATGAAAAATCATTCAAGAGAAGTATGTTCATGCTTACAGTCAACAAATTCATGATGCCCACACTCCATTTTATATCAAGTGGCTGCAGATCTGGATTGTAGCAAGAGAATTAAAGAAGATGAACCCAGATATACACCATGCAAGCTCCAAAAGGTTTTGCCCAAACGATTCAGATAATTATAACTCTCTCAGGTGCTTTCTTTCTTCTCTGACTGAGCTTCGGAAATATATTTCACAACATCAGCACAACAAGAGAGTTTATCTGCCTTCTGATCAGGAATTTCAACGGAAAATTCTTGCTCAATAGCCATCACAAGTTCCACCCTGTCTAAGCTGTCTAAACAAAGGTCCTTTTGGAAATCAGCCTTCTCGGTTACCTGCAATGATTTGATAGATTAGCCTTTCACATTTATCTCAAATAGCATTATGATAAAACAAAATAACAAGAAAAATAGAGCTTGTTCACTGATTATGATGCAATAGATAACATACATGCAACGTGCTTAAGGGTGAATATGATTTTCGCAAAACATGGGATGGATTGAAACAAAATGTCCACTTGGCAATACCCTACTCTTCAAACTATGATAGTGAGAAACACTATAGTAAAAATAAAGATAACAGTTACCTGCATGAAAAAGAGAATCAAAAGAATGAGCCTGTACTCCCAACTATGTGGAGTTGACTGCATGAATCATTATTCAGCCCTATATTCTACATGCAAGATCAACCAAATTCTTTTGCAACATTTTGCCTTTTATGACCAGAAAAAGAAGTGACCGATATAAACAAACACAATTAACTGCAAACTCTAGGAAGAATAATGCAGATTTGAGTTAACACGAAGGTGGTGGTTGGTCTGTTGTTGTTACCCTGAATTACTGCTGCTGTCTATAAGAAGGAAATATTTTCAAAATCTCTTGACAGATAAGTGACTTAAGAAGGCTCACAGTGATACTAAAACACACAAGGTTGTTATATGACAGTTTTATAAGATCAACCAAGTTATTCAGAAGCAACATTCTGAAAGAGGAATGAAAAAAATAATAATGAAAATTTTGCAGCAAAATTATGTCTAACTAGACAAGGGTAATCAAATCTATTCAGGGTGTATGTTTCATGGCAAGAGAAACTTAAAGTTGAAATAGAAGCAATTTGCTGATAACCATAAGTGACACGTGAAACTATTACAGATTTCTTTTGATGAAGGGAATAGGATTTGAATTTCGAAGGTAAATTCTAGCAGATGGTTCAGAACCTAAATGCAAAATTTAAGGAACAGCTTCAAGTACTGAAAATGTAAGTGCTGAATAGCACATGTCCCCGTGTACTTGATATTTTACCTCACTGAACTTTGTTTATGTCATAAGAAATTATTCATTTGAACAGATTTACTCTTTAAGTTTAACTGTAACGTTTGCAGCATTAATTAATATGTAAAGGTAAGATCACAATTTTGACAAATTATCACAGATTTAGCTAGTTTTGCCTAAGTCATGCAGTACCCTTACGTGTTAGTCCGCAAAGGGTCAGTCTCTCCGAAACCTTTTATGGTCCCTTAAGGACCTACAAAGAGAAGACGAGTTAGAAGAAATGTAACTCAAGATCTCACAAATACACATTTTAGCAAACACTTGATAGACAATGCAAATTACAAACATAGACTTCGTAAACCTTGAACGATCGCATAATAAAAGGTTCAAGGTGGTTCGCCACGACCAAAAGTCCCCACAAGTGCCCACATGATACTACTGTAAAGCAAAGTAGCAAACTAGCCCTAGACACTATCCTAAAAGCCCATCAAGTCATGTGTCACCTGGGTAGCCACGGGGTGTTGTGTTGGATGTCACTCTGCATCACTCTCTAGAGCTTATTAAAACCCTTAAAATGGCTATTTAGATGGCTTATTTTTTAGTAGTTTTGCCTCCACACGACGACTACACACAACTCGCATTTACAGGACTAAGACAACCACAAAAACCAATCAAAATGGGACTGTCAAGACTACTGTAAGCCCTTTACATGCTATACAAAGTATGAACAAACCCGAAAGATACAGACATACACAAACATTATATCGAACATCCTTTATACTGATTTGTCTATGACAAAATGTTAATCCAAACTGCCTGGTCTTGCAATATATGAGAATCAATTCACATCAACTCACTTTAATATACAACAGAATCTCGAATTGGCATATGAGCAAAAGGTACTGGTATACGCAATATCTATTTATCTTGCACAGCCAACTAAGTTTACCATGGAAATAAATCCATGAAAGGAAATCACATTCAGGTTTCAGCAGGAATATTCATAAGCATCACTGGTCGTGGATGCTTGACTTCATAAAACTGTTATATAGTCATCTGAGATCACGGTATACTGAACAAAGTACTTTTAACAACAAAGTCTTTGGTTCTACTGTGGAAAGCCTCAGAGCTATTTAGCTAGTGTTGTTGACAAACCTCAGAGCTATTTATCATAGAGATATACCTTGCTTGCATCCAACTTGTCAAACTTCTTAACCAACTCAAGCACTCTAGCAGTGAGATCTTCCATGCTGGTGTCGCTTGATGACACGCAGAATCGCTGGCATGGTGAATTGAGCAGTCTTCCGGCTGCTCCGAACTCACTTAGCCCTGTTGAGCAGCTCAAACGGACATGCTTCGTTATGGAATTCCATAAGTGTTGCATTTTTCCCCAAATCTACAAAAAAAAAAAAAAACAAGCACCTTGTGAACACACGATGAACAAATCATAGATTTGGGCACAGTTTAATTCATCAGATTAGGCGATGGGTGGTCATGCACATGCACATAGTGTGGCCTTCCTTCAACGTTCCACATTCTGATCACAACAATAAGCCTACTAATTTCAATTGACAAGGAGAGAAGAAATGGATCGGAGAACGGTTGACGAAGAATGCTTTTGTGATCGCTGGCCACAAGTAGCCATAATAGTTCAACAAAAAAGCAGTGAATCCTACTTCCCAAGAGCACACTCTCGTCGGCAAGCCGAAAACAAGGCGGAGATCACACGTCTTAGCTATCTCGACCTAATCTTCAAACAACAGAACGCAGGGAAGACGGAAAAAGAGAAGAGAGAAAGACAAACGTAGAACGAACAAAGGAGGAGCAGATTGAGAAGTAGACCCGGCTCTCTATCGTTCCACAAGCGACGCGAAGGTGCTTACCAAAATGCCAAAGCCAATCGAACCCTACGGATGCCGTTCGACCCCGCGGCGTTCCGGAAAGAAATAGCGCAAGGCGTCGCACGAGTCACGAGGCACTTCTTTTATTAGTTTCCATATATTTAAGAAAAGAAAAACATCAGTAACAGTAGATAGCCCTGAAACTTTTCGCTGGTCACGAGGTATGCACTCCTTTGTGATGTTCTAAATTGCTCACGTCAAATAAAAGTCAGTGGATTATGTAAAGGGACAAAAATATACTTCAATTTCGCCCCATCCAGCAACAAAATTAGCACCATTTTAACTCATAATGTACGAGAAATTAGATGATATCATTGAGATATATATATATATATATATATATATATATATATAAACACTTTTTAATTATATTTTACCCAGTAGCTTTTAAAAAAGTATGAGGATTAACCTCATTTGTTGACTATTGATTTAATTATTTCTAATATCGATCCATTTTTAAGCTATTGTATGCTTCGCTAAGTATTCATCTTTGTTATGAAAAATATTGATAATGATAAGATCAATCAAACTTGATTCAAGCTCATGTACATAAAAGATCTTTGGGCACAACCAAAGAAGTTCAAGTGTAAGTCCTAATATCAACCTCCAAAAAAACTAAGATAAGATTAGTATTTCGATATCATCCCTTTGATACTAAAAAACTAAGATAAGATTAGTATTTCGATATCATCCCTTTGATACTAAGTCAATAATAAAATAAAAGATGATGATCTCAAAGTATAATCGTGATGATTATTATGATCAAAAGAACTTTTATAATACAATTAACAACAAAAATTATTCATCAATATAAGCAAAACATCCCTCGATATTTTATATTCAAGGGATATTCATGTGGCTCAATCGAACTCTAACCACGAGCCCTAATTGAGATAAATATTTCTCCTATCAATCTCTATAATTTAAAAATTAATAGCGTAAAGTGAAGTGATATGCTACCCAGAGAAAGCATCGTAGATTAAATGTACCAATATAACACCACCAACAACATTGTCATAACTCATAAGGACTACAATTCTTGTTGTCTACAAGTCAATAAACCCAAAAAAAATGGATTTTGCCGTAGAGAACAAAATGAACGTTAGAGGTAGGCCAACCGCTACCTGCAGTGCACTTATGAAGCCAAATGACTAGGCTTTTATTGCAGATGAAAAGTAGATCATGCGCTGTGCGTGTCACATCATTTCAGCTTAGGGAAAAGCTTTGGTGCAACCTGCACATCAGGGAAGATACATCAGCCAAGAATAGGAAACAAGCTTACTGCAAGAACCACAAGAAAATAGAGCCTGCTTACACAGTTATCAACACAGGAAAAGTAGTCGAAGTATTGCCCTGTGCAATGCTTGTGCCCACTTTCATCCCCTTTGATCCTCCGAACACATGCCTGCAGGATAAATGGGATCGTACTAAATGGTTGCAAACAAAGAAAGAAAGACAAAAGACAAAACTAGTGAATGATCAGATGCAGAAGGTATTCTTTAAGAAAAGATTGGATTTTGATGTAATCTTAAAAAGCATGTCTGATAACAATTCTTTGAGATCATGAGCAACTTGGTTTATCAGTTTGGAACAAATAATGACCACAACACATCAGACATGGATCTATTAGTGGTTATTGTTGTAAGTTTTGACCACGAACAAGAATATTGCCACCTAGAGAAAAAGATACAATAACTGAGAAAACAACAACAGTAGAAGCCAAAACAGGTAACCTATGAAAGAATATCCAAAAACCAATTTCAAATTTGGTTTTCTTGGAGCTAGATAAAGACACTAGTAACTTTCAATTGTAACAAAGTTTGGAATGAGGTCCTTAACCAGAGAAATCTTATTATGTTTAAGCTGCCTCGAGTAATTCTCATATTTCAAGTCACCAGGAATAGTCATATCAAAGTTAATCTATTGCTCACTCATTTAATCATCACACTATCATTCAATTTCCCACTTTTATTTTGTTTACTTTTTAAGCGAGAACGGTCAAGGTCCAAACACTTTTAAGAGGGAAAATCCTCTAGTTATGATGCACCATAATCACATGGGCCTGATGCATGCCCATTTTCAAGCTTCCTAGTTCTATCCAGTAAAAAGCTGTGGCCTCTTCATCAGATCTAAGATTCTTCATGTCATTTCTAAGTGACAGCTTTCCACAACCTGTATCATTTTAACAGGATATTCCAATAAAGAAGAGAGCACCAATTTAAAGAAAGATGCAAGATGACCTGGACCGCAGGTAAAATTAAATTCTTTGTTACAGATTGGTGCAGAATTGCCATAAATTGCACACTGAACTCTTTTGTGATGATTCCACAGATACTGAAGTAATGAAATGTTGTCACAACTTGTATAGGAAGGTTGCAGCAATTAATCAGGCCAAAATAAGAAGGTTGTTGATGTTGAGAAGTTTTGAATACCCTTCAATCTGCAGATTGCAGATATTGCTTGGTTAAATCAAGCAGTGAAAATTTGATATCTGATAGGAAACAGGAAATATGAATAGGTAGAGGGATATGGAGAGAGAGAGAGAGAGAGAGAGAGAGATCCAATTGATGAAAGTGAAGAAAAAGTGGGAGGAAATCTGATGAAGGCCTCATTGTCCACAGAAAAAAATGCAACTTTTTTTAAAACTCTGGTTATGGAAGTAGCTATCAATTTAATAGAAAAAAGAAAAACCAACATCTCAAAGCCTAATCTGGGCTCCTGATTTTTCCTATCCAAACAAAACCTTTATCTCATCTCAATCTGTTCACAAATATATACAATAAGCTAATCTAATCTATTCTAATGAAAATAAATAAATAAATCTAATTACTTCCAGTTAGATGAGCTGTCCTTCCAGATTGCATCAAGGACAATTAGTAACAACTTAGATACAACTGCTGATGTCATGACATGTAAGTGACATGGTGGCAAACAGTACATGGGCATGATTAGAAAATGACCTGATTACCTAGGAATCATATTAAGTATAAAGATTAATCAAAGATGTTAATATGTGGACATGAATTTAAATTTCAATTTTTCCAAATATCACTACAGTATGAATTTACACTTCCATTCCTCCAAAAATTATCACTTCACATTAACTTGTTAAAATATAGAACATGATAAAGGGCAGGAAGAATACTTATTCACGTGTCTTCTTCTTTCTTTTTTTCTTTTGCAGTTCCCTTTGTTAATAGTTCGCTTACATCTAACGATCTCTCTTTCATATCCCGTAATTACTCTCATGATTTTGTTTTCTTTGAGAAACTTCACATCCCCAACTGTTTAGGTACAGCCTTGGCTGCTTTTCACAACTTTCACAATGTAGAGAACCCTAATATTTCAGAATAAAAGGAATTATAAAGCACCAATTCAAAGAAAAGATCCTTGAAACATCATGCTACTCATGGCAATTTGGGCGGGTATGGTTTTCAACATATAATTGCAACATTCTACCTAGTACTTGCTTCTATCAAACAAACAATTTAGGAAGCTATAGTGCTATACTAACCCAGCTTTGATAATCTACCATGACATATATATGAAATGTCACAAAACTTCTCAGTAAGATGCCTTTTATAACCATTAGGCATATGAAGCTCAGACAAAAACTCAAAATTACAAATTATGACCACTGACAAGATGTAACAAGAAATATGCAACTGGAATTATTTGCAACGAAGCTTAAAGCACCTGATATGCGTGTAAGGGTCTTGCACACTTTGGCTTGCATGAGTCCTCGAGATATTTCTTTGGATCTGCAAGCTCTTCGTCTGCCCTGAATCAAGTAAACAGCCATTTTTAATCTAGTATTTAGATTCAAAAGAAATGTAGTCTTACATTAGCAGGTAGCCTAAATGAATATGAGAGGTTGATAAAGGCCTTCCTGAAATTATATTTACCAAGTGGTTTAAATGATAAAACCAAAAGTCCACTTATCAAGCTTTATTTTTAACCCAAGAACTTGAAGAATGACAATATTCCTAAATTGCTTGAGCAACTTTGCTGATGAAATTCCCTTCTTAAATTATTCAAATAATTCTATTTTATATGGCTTTTCTAACACAAGCGAGACTAGATAAACAAATTTACATTTCAAATCAAACCTAGGGTTTAACCTCATCAAATTATGGAAAAAAAGGCGTCGACAAGGTAGGCAGCTAAGAACAATCGTATGTTTGATTGTTCACATCTCTTAAGAAGATATCACAAGATACCGACCTGAAAATACAGTACAAAATGGCTATACTCACATTGTGGATGAGAAAAGATAATGACGTTCTCTCGTCGACCTGCACAGATCAAAATACAGAAACCATAATTTCCATCCGTCAGCAGAAGTAAACACCTACCGGCCCATGGCTACATTCGGAAACAACTTATCAACAAGATCGATGATCGCAGCAGAAAATCAACTCGAATTGCCTACAAAAACCGATAAAAAATCGGCTTTGAAGATCAGTTCAACAAAAAACCTAAAAAAACCAATTTTATCTGAAATCAAGGAAAACGCCGGCAAATCTATCACGCAAAACCAAATAAAAAAGAATTATCAACGACGTTGATGATCCCAGCAAAAGATCCACTCGAATGGCCTACGAAATGACATGCGTGGGGTTTTGAACATCAGTCCATAAGTTTACAACACAAAACCAAATTAAAACCACAGAAACGAACAGGCAAAACGACGAAAAGCATGGAGATCGAAACAGAAGAAGAGGAACAGGGCGGGCTTTACCCTAGAGAGAGATGGCGACGAAGAGACGGCACCGCAGCCCGTCGAGGAGAAATAGGGATGAGTAAAGACCGGCTGACACGCGTCTAAAGTCCCGGTTCATGTGGTACGGTTTGGTTAAGTCTCCGTTCGGTTCGCTGCAACTACTAAAACCAGTTTGCTTGATCCAATCAATCGCCGAAATTGCCTTTGCTTGGACTCGAGTTCGACCGGTGATCAGAAATCTAGCGCGATTTTGTCCACGACATACAACTAGTTCGGTATCGACCAGGTGGAGTTCCAGTGTCTCGATCCAGCCAGGACTCAGGAAAAGAGACAATCCTCACTATGTAGACTAATTATATATTAACTCCTGTAATTAATTATTTTTAGAGTTTCGATATTTATAATTTTAAAAATTATATTAGGATCTTTATATTTATAAAAATCAAATAGTAAGATCCTTATACATGATTAAAAAGATAATTTTATAGGATTAAAAATCAAGAAAGTGAAAATTTTTTTATTGAAATAACAAAGTTAAATGTTCCACTTTATAAATATAAAGATCTTAATATAATTTTTTAAAATATAAAGATCGTAATATTAAAAATAACTAATTAAAAGGATAATATGATGATTGAATCCATTAAAAAGATAATATTATATATATATATATATATATATATATATATATATATATATATATATTATGATGATGATGACTAATGATGAACAGTGATAATGAGTATTACTTTTGTAATGTACTTTGTAAAAATAACATTGTGCTCACTGTTTTTGTAAATAAATTAAGTTTTCTTCCATTATTTAGATTGCATATAAGAAGCTTTAACACATACAACAAAGCTGAGATCCATTGAACTGGTACAGGATGTCTCATTAAAGAAAACTCTTATTAAGGTCTCCAATTGAAGAGCTGTTGGTGGAGACCACTAAACAAGAATATCTGAGAAAAAAATAGATCAATTATAGCTGATGCAGAATGAGACTTGCACATCATGGAAATCTCTTGCTAGAGTTCAGCTGAAGGAGAACACTAGGCTTACAGTCAAATGAATGTTTTCACATATGGAAGAACAGACCTTTATTTTTGCCATCCTCACTGGACATTACAGAAAAGTTATTTACAACAACAGCACATCAAATTGAACCATCTCCAGGCAGATAAGGAGTCTTAGAGATAACACAATCATATGAGAAAGGCTTGTGGCATAAGAAGAGTGCTTGTTTGATGATGAACCATAAGTTCAGTTCTATCAGAACCGAGCCAATGAAGAAAGATCTTCTCCTACCTGTATGGTGATGGAGGGAAACTCAGCTTTGGATGGCATAAAGACCAAGGCCTTCTCTTAAGTGTAGTGGAACATCTGCTGCACAAAGCCTCTTGGATTCCCTGTGTTGGATGGATGAATCTGCAAATTGACATCTCATTATATTTTTGTTTTTTTCTTATCGAATACAACTGATCTTGGATTCATAGTTTCAAGCATTAAATGATGAAATTTTTGTATTCTCAAACACATCAAATGAAATTCTACTAAATTGTTTAAGTCGATTGCAAAATTTCATCTCCGTGTGCATCCAAAGATGAAATTAGCAACATGCAATAAAGTAAGCGTTCTATTTGGATAATTTTTCAGTGTATGACTTTAGGAACAAGAATACCCGAATTCAAGAGGAACAATCTGCATTGCAGTCCCTATAAATTCCATTCTGGGAATGATCTGGAGTGTAATTGATCCTTCAGCTAGTGGAGCAAGATGAAGAGTGCTGTGGTACGAGATGAAGAGTGCTCGACAAGAAGTCTGCTAGAACCTGCTGCAGCATCCCATATAAATACATGGAAAATATTTATGCAGGTCAATCTGGAAGAAGAGGCAACTGCTGCCTCCTGCTTAGAGTCATTACTTTGTTTATGACAGCACCCACAGACCAAAGGTTAAATTCTAGTGTGTTCAGCTCGTAAGTTGTTTGGAAGTAATATATGTTAATAGGTGGTTATGTATATTAAAGGGCAAGAGTGCAGAAATTAGTAATTACAAATTGCAAAAGCCAGTAAACTGGAGTGCTCTATGAGGGGATTTAGGCAAGCATCTATCAGCCTAAAGAATTCCATATATAATTGTCAATGTTTCTGATTGGCAAAAGTCTAAAAGTAAATGTTTGCTACAAATATCATATATGGTGCAGCAAGCAACTTTCCAATAGATGGATCAACCTTAATTTTTGTTCTTCATCATTGACTTTTGATGTTCGCATTCTACTTTGCAGCTGTTCTTAATTCATGTATGATTACTCCTAAAACAGATTGTAAATTCATTCATCTAAAAAGCTGACAATTATTTTAACAAAATTGTATAGATCGAACATTACAACTCAAATTGTTCAACAACAATTTTTAACCAGCTTGCCAGTGTTGTTTAAGAAATTCAACATCATCTGATGACAGAATTATGTGGAAATTTTGGAATTTTGATTGCATGAAATATAAGAAATGTACTCCAATTACTTTGTGTAATTTTCTGGGGCAATTTAGTGGCTAAATATATGGTCTGAAAAGTCAGTGGCAATTATTCATACCCAAACATATTCCATCTTAGGTCTTCAAATGGACTTCCACATGCTTAAAGATGAACAACATTTCAATGATTATAACTTTATGTTGAGAAATTTTATTATATCACATGGAAAAGCTAGCTATTCTAGTTTCCTACCATATCAATGGCAATTTTCACCGAAAAACAAAATAACGAATGAGATGCATACCTTTGTTCAATGCTTACCGTATCCATGTCATACAAAATATTTGCTAACTGCTCTCAACAGAGGGCCTTTCTCCCAAGCAGTTGCTTCTGCCCCTCATTTTAGTCAGTTGCCTTGATCATATATCACTACTTTTCAATGATTAAAGAAATCACTTCTCCATAGTCCATTGGCAAAAACAGACTTGCCCTGCAAATCCTTCTAGAACAACAAGAAATGGAGTAAAGAGCTACTAAAAATTCTTAACTCAAGCAAGAGATGGAAGAAAAGCTAACTCAAGAAACATATAAACAGCAAAGCGAACTAGACTGTGAGCTAACTAGTCCCAAGGACAACAGGCATTGATAATTTGCTTCTAGTTCTCATAGTTCCATCAACTTCAGAAGGACTATAGCTTTTTAGAAAAAGGCTACGTATATTGCATTGTTAACGCTACCACCATATGAAAAGGTTTCAATTGAAATAGACAAGCAATACAAAAGAAAAAGACTGAATTAAGTTCCACAAGCTGATGGACTAATTAATTTTGCATAAAGATACAAGAAAAGAAGTCCTCAGTGGTACAGACAGTGATATCTTGTACCTCAATAAATCTGTGTATAAATCAGACACAGCATGGATAAAACATGATGCTCTCAAGAGCTTGGAAAATCTCAGGATGCCAGAGTTCATCTGCTTACACGACATGATACATGTAAGCAAAACTCAAACAAAGCTCTCGGTCCCTCCAATCACCCCAGCCTCCCCAACCCTTAAAACCTGCTTGGTAACCACTCTGCTTCTTGATGATGTGCACCTGCCAATCCGGCTTTATGTTAAGAATTTTATCGATCTCGTCTAGCTGAAAGCTTGCTTTGCCATTGTCAATGCACGCGCCACTCTTCCCTTGCCCCTGATGCAGTCCGCATTTCCCAAAGTGGGCGGCACTTGTCCGGGGACCTCTCAGAGTGTAAACAGGGGCTCCAAACGAAGGGTAGACAGTAGCCCACATCGTAATGTCCCAGTTATACTCATCAAAGGAGCAGAACTCCTTCGCCTTAGCATGTATCTTTCTCCAAACAGTCCTGTTGAAGGCGTAACCCATATTCCCAATCTTCTCAGCTATCAGCATATCCGTCGCTTCTCCCTTAAAGTTCACATCAGACGGGGCCAAGTTGGTAGCGTAGCACTCGGGGCATTTCGTGGGCTTTACTCCTACGAGCAGCTGAAGGTTCCGGTAAGCATTCGGGTAGATGTAATGGTCCTCCTCGATGAAAAGAATGTGACCGTCGAATCCCCTGGTCTCCTCCATCCCATCCCACACAGTGTTCATCATCCACCACCAGTGGTGCTTCAGCGACACTATCCTCGGCGACCGGTGGTTGCCGTACTGGTCAGCCGTCCCGTTGCACTTCTTCGCAGCGGGGTCGTCCTTGTCGTGGCAATCGCCCAGGGAGACGCCCGGGAAGCTGTCGGGGAACAGGTGCGGCGAGTAGGGCGCAAAAATCTGCTTCACCTGGCAGAACCGGATGCCCCGGACGATGCCGTCCATCTCGGGGAAGTATCCATCGTGGCTCACGATCAGCAGCGTCTCGCCGATGCCCTCCACGCCGGCGAGGCTCCGGACGACCGCCCGGAGGTACCGGGGGCGGTTGTGGACGTAAAGGACAATCTTTGTATGGTCCTTGGCCAGGGTGGGGAAGAGATCCGTGTTCCTGGGGGGCAATCTGTTTCGCTGATCCAAGGAGACAGAGAGGAGGGTCTGCTTCGGCAGCTTGAGCTTGAAACTAGGATCCGCTAAAATAGTTGCAGGGTTTTCCAGGTTCGCGAAGGAGAAAGAGGAGGGACCGGCGACAGCTCGATTCTTAAGCATGAAGACCACGAACAGCACGGAGGCGAGGACTACAAGGACCAAAGGGAGCACCCGCCGCAACGGCAGGGCGACTCTCGCCGCCCGAGATCTTTTGTAAAAGGCCATGGATTGTGCAATTCTCAGCCCCTAATCTCGCAAGAACACGTCAAAGAAGAGAAATCGAAGGAGGTAAAAGGAATCGAGAACTACAGCTGCGAGAATCTTGGGAACCCCGAGGTGGTGGATAAACCGGTGGAGCAAAGGGCTACATAGACCGAAGGGAGAAGCGGAGGAAGTCAACGCGGCGATGAATCGATGGAGAGGCGACCGAGCTGCGGAAAAGATCTCGGGAGGCGGCGGACGGAGGAGCTGCGGGCGACTTCCACGAAACCACACAAGGAGTAGGAGGAGCAAGTCCACGAGGAAGAACCCAACGGACGGGTAGCGAAGAGCATTTGCTTTATTTCTACACTGTTCCCGAAACCGGACTACCGTCCATGTGTGATTACTTGGGAAGAAACGTGGGGCCCGCGATTTATCCTTCTTTCCTTCGACAGAAGGACAGGTAGATTTCTGGGTGGTTGACGGAAGGTTGATACAAATTATTGTTCTTAGCAGTGCAAATTGAGCGGGACCCACTCTATGCAGCTGTTTAATACATGCGTCAGACAGCATACAAACTGGACCTTCCCAATTATAACCTTCTTCGAACCAATTGAGCCCAATTCCAAGTTAATGGAACCGGCGGCACGTCCTCCCTACACGTGGAGGAGACCTTCCGGTGAAGGCAAATGGGCAGCTAAAGCAGCTATCTCCCTCCCCGTCACATTGAATCTGTTCACTTCACCTTCTGTTCCTGCTGCAAGAATCACGATCAGTCCCGTATTGGTGCAGAAACATGCATTCACGAGGCACACAGCAGGAGGAGGAAGTATACTGCTCTGGTTCGTCGACTAAGGATCGAAGTTGATTCATAATAAATTATTAGTAACCCTATGAAGGCGAGTCAGGAGACACTAGTTTTCACGACGAAGTGCTTGCACGCCTCTCACTTTTCATACATTGTTGCCCACGTCAAGAGCCACGCCAGCCTTGTTTGCCCTGTCTACTCCTCCTCCTGGTGCTCTTCACTCTCCATCGCTGAGAAGATGGTGCACTCGTTGTCAAGCAAGGGGCAACAGGAGAGACGGAGAATTGAAAAATGAATAGGAGAACTACCAACGACGGCAACCGAAACACTAGCAAAGGTGGGGAACAATGGTTGGGAGAGAAAAGAATTGTTGCCACCACTGTCGTTGCTGCAAAGGTCTATGATGATGACGAGCCACTACTGTTTGTGTCAAAGCCCAACCAGGGAGGGAGTATGTAGTTCAATCCTATGCCAGAAGCAACCAATGAGGACAAGGACGAGGAAGCTTACGATGATGAGAAGATGAAGGACGTGAAATGATATGACGAGTTCTATAGGCTCATTGCGGACCCTAGCACTCAATCTACTAGCTGCATTGACGGAGGAGTCCTTCATCGACCGACACCAAGGTCTAGGGTTGGTGGCGTCCTTGTGAGTATGATGTCGTAGGCAACCCTACTCTTAGAATAGTGGAGGCACCAAAGCTATGTGGTGGCTCTCAATGTGATAGCACCACCAATAGGATCCTTCGCCCCTTTCCATGCCCTGATTGATCTAGTGACAATACTGGACGTGAACCAAGGTATGATTGGGGAGAAGCTCCAAATGCTAAAGCGCGCAATACGACTAGTGATTTTTTCTTTGGGCTCGAGGGACTAACTCTCTATTGCAAGTGGCTCCTCCCTTTATAAGGATGTCAAGGTAAAACCATCGCCCGTCAAATCGTGAAAAGACTTGTTATAAAATAAATTAAAGTTGAGAAGGGTTTATTTTAAACATAAATAAATCACTTAAGAAACTAATGACAAAAACCACGAGCTAAAATGAGCCTTAGCCATATATATATATATATATATATATATATACTAGAAAATAACGCGGCGTTGCTTTTGTACCGCATCACCATGAAACAAAATAACGGGTATATAATAATAAATATATCGCCCGAAAAAGATATAAATAAAGTCATAAACTAAACCGAAACAACGAATACATAACAGAAGTCGAAAGAAACGGTGCAATCACGCCTATAAAACGCTACGTTTTGTGCGCCATCCTCTCCGTCCCCCCGCTGTCCGCCTTCTCGTGCGCTCCTCTTCTCCCTGTCCTAAAACTTGTCCTTCGGGTGGCTCTTATGCCAATGTCGACGTCGCCACCGAGTCTGCTGGGAGGTGACGGAAGCGACGGAGAGGTCGGAGAGGAAGCCGTGAGCCTCGGCAGCCGCCGCACTGGCGACACCTCGCTGTCGCTGCCGAGGCCCGCTGACGTGGTCTGGCCGGAACACTTCGTCGAGGCCGTCGCCGCCCAGGTCGCCGTCGACGCGGCGAGCTCAGCTGGGCCGTTGGCCGCCGCTCCTGCTGTTGTCGCTGTGTTCCAGGTTCTTTCTTCCTCTTCTTCTTCTTCTATATGAGCACACCGAGTTTTCTTTGCTACTGTTCTTTCCAGTTACACTAGGTTTTGTTTTCGGCCTTCAATTTTCTTGCTTTCTGTTGATGTTGAAATGATTTTGTAGCAATGAAACCCTGAGAAATAGACTGCAGAAAGTAAAAGTATTGGGAGAACAAACTTACTGTTTTATAGTTGCAGCGGAAACTTATATTGCGTGACACTCATTCCACTCCTCTGCTGGTTCTCCATCTTTTCGCTTTCTCTTCTCGTCTCTTTTGTTCGCTTTCCCATCTGTTTCTGACGAGGTTTCGTTCGGAGCCTCGTGACAGTGGTGGGCGGTGTATGGTGGCATTCCGTTCTTTCGACGCTTGCTTCATACTGTGCTTCACCTCGACCCATTACCATCGCTGCTACTTTGTTTACTTACGTTAAGCCGCCGGCTCAGCCGTCGCAGAAAGAACCCCTCGGCAGAGTCGCAGAGGGGGACGCAGGTGCCCTCAGTATTTGAACCCGCCTGCCCTCTCGTATATAACTCCTCTGTAGATAAATATTTTGATTTGGATCACTGCGAATCCTAGAATCTTAAATTGTTAGAACAAAACGAGTATGTTTATGAGCTCTAACATCTCGTAAAATTAAAATTAAAGAACATTGCATAAATATGAATGGATTAAAAATCATATCTTGCCTTGATATCATCTTCCTTTTTTTTTTATCAAAATTATTTCATCTGTGAACTCATAGACGAGATATAATGAACGTATTCTTAAATATGGACTGTAGCCGCGATCTGTCCCCCACGCTGGCACTACCCACTATTAATCAGACAACAAGGATTGAGACCCCCACCCCCATTTGGAGGCCGTCAACACATCAGCTCGCCATCTTTTTTCTTCCTTGCCGAAGAACAAGGTGGCCGACTCCACAGTGTTCACTTTAAGGGATCAGAAAGATGGCTATGCGGCTGTATCTTTGCCCCACCCCAAGAAAAAGGACCTAAAGAGTACTTTATTCTTGTATTGGAATTGATAAATATTTAAAATTTTTAGAATCGATGTCTCAGGAAAACAAGGAATGAGTCCTAATGGAGAAATTTTTTTATTATTATTAGGGTTTGATTTTTTTTTTTGTAAATATCCTACATATATCTGGGTTTTTATGGGAAAGAAAAAGCTGTGATGTTTTAGTGGGAGGAGAGTTGTAATTTGGATTTAGATGCTCAAGAGTTTCTTTCTAGAGTATGTAGAGATGGTGAGAGAAAATATGAATAACTCTATGTAGAGAAAATTTCTAGAGTAAATCCTTCGAGACTTACATGAAAGGATGTGTATAAGAGGACATCTCAAGCTTGAGGACGTAAAAGGGCCTTAGCTTTGATTGTGAAATCATGTTAAACATACGTCAACTTTCTGAACATTGTTTTGATTTTCGAGTTTCTCCTCTCCATCCAACACCTTGTTATCTGTATCCGTGTTTCAATCTCGTTCGTAGAACCTATATGTGCGTTCTAAGATCGTCACTTTTCAACGGGAAAGAATATGCTTTCTTCCGCTTATCGTGCTCTTTTGCCTGGGAAAAATATAATCGACCATTACCTTATCTTCCTCTTACGTCTATTTGATGGCCGCTACGTTTATTGCGGTCAGACACTCTTACATGGATGTCAAACGCTCTTATTAGAACCGTTCTGCCAAAGCTTGTTCACTGCCTGCAGTGGCCATTGCTGACGAGGCTTGTCGTTTGCTTTTTGTTGATAGGATGTAGGATGTAAGAACATAGCCAAGACGAAATCAGAATCAGAGTACTCGTATGGAAAGAGAGAGAGAGAGAGAGAGAGAGAGAGAGAGAGATGTTAATGAAAAGATGTCAATGAAATGACAGCTTCTCGATTGCACGTCGCTCGCCCCTTCACCTGCAGTACAGTTTGCGGCCTTCGGTGGTGCCTGCGCCACCAAGGACGAACTTTTGGGTGGCTCTTACATGCGCGGTACAGCCACTATTTATGGACGGGCGGCACTCTCGCTGACCCATTGCAGCACCCGATCAGGGATATAACCGCCTTCTCTTCAAACGACGACATCATGGGACCTTCCAACGTTGGAAGACGTACCTCATGCCATGGAATGGTTTATAGGTGACAGAGAGAAAGGCAAGTGCTGCGCTTTGTGGTCTCGGCTTCCATAGAACTAAGCGGGTAAGCAGCTGGAGCCGCTCGTATGTTCTCCATAGACTTCATTTCCGATGCGTTGTTTTCTTTGCTTTTGACTTGTGACTCTGGCCTTCCCTTTTCTGCTGTACGAAGAAGGGTTTTAAAGCTGCTGCTGTCTCTGCTAGCTCTCGATCGACATTAAACTATGAGCTCCATTTTCTGACCAAGTATGGAGTGGAAAGAGAGAGTCTGCTGGTCTAATGGGCATACTGCTTAGCCAAGTGAGGCTCAGCATCACTCGAACGGGGCATAAAAGTACACTGCAAAAGCCGCACGCTCTTTATTATCCATTTGTGTTGTCTTTAAGTTGCATATGGATGGAAATTTTCTTTGGATCATCATGACTCTCATTCTGAAGCATCCATACCTGAAATTTTCCACCTCTCTCAGATATCATAGTTTAGCGTGACGGAAATGTGATACGTCTACATGCCAAGTTAGTGTAACTTACTTTAGTGTGTGTGTTAATTGAATTTTCTTCCACAACTTAGAACATGTACGTAGTAAAGCTTGTTTAATTTCACAATATTCATCTTGCTTGTGCATCAAATTGCCTTTCAACTCAAGTTTACAACTTTCACTCCATTTTGCAATAATATTTTGTCAAGTGTTTTGAAATACGTATGCCAATTCGGTGGCATTTTCTGATGGCTTGGTTTTTAGCTTATGCCATAATTTCTTCGATAGGTAAAGATTGATGGAATAATTGATCGATTAACTT